GTATTAGACTATTATTATATTCCCCCAAACACAATGCTTCTCTTGACAATATTCTGATCATGTGAAGAATGACGACTTACAAGATTGCTAACATATGAATTATTGTAAGAAAACGAATCTAAAAGCCAGGTGTGATGGTTCACACCTGAAATACCAGTTCTCAGAAGTTGGAGGCAGGCTGAAGGTTAAGGTCATTGTTAGTTTCCCTAAGAAGCTGAAGGCCAGCCTGAGACAGACCAGACCTGTCTCAAACAAACAAAACAAAAGTACAATTAAGAAGAAAAGAATAGGGGCTGGAGAGATGGTCCAGCAGTTAAAAATACTGGATCTTCCTGAGAATCCAAGTTAGATTCCCAGCACCCACATGGCAACTCACAGCTGACTGTAACTTCAGTTTCAGGGGATCGGGTGATACACTTTTCTCACCCCTATGGGCTCTGTACACACGTGGTGCACGTATGTATATGCAGACAAAACACTCATACACATAAAAATAAAAGAATTAAAAACAACAAAAGTAACTTGGAGCCACTCCTGCTCACTCTCAAGAGTTCTTTCTCATTGTTCTTGAATAAATCCACATTCAGCAATGACTCAGAGGTTAAGAGCACTTGCTGCTCTTCCAGAGGACCTGAGTTCAGTTCCCGGCACCCATGGGAGCATTTCGCAACCACCTGGAACTCCAACTCGAAGGGCTCTTGCACCCTCTTCTGGATTCCACAGACACCAGCACACATGTGCACACACAGAGAGACACATATACCTAAATAGATAAGTCTTTAAAAATAAATCTATGTTTAGTCTGCTTTAAGGAAAGTTCAATCTACAACGTTCAGAAAGTGAGCCAGATGCGGGTAACAGACTGTTACTGAAAAGAGAGAAGGTATTGACTCTATTTTTTCTTTTCTCTTCCTCCTACCTGCAGGGATAATATTTTTATTTGACCCTCAAAGACTGAACTTCTGGTATGCCTCACAGTGAAGTTAATAATTCCCCTTGAGATCATTCAATACTCTGTACTTAGCCTGCTGTCCTACTGTGTTCTCAGCCTGCTTAAGTTTAATCTTCTTTTAAGAAAACAATGGAACCAACTTTACTATGCCTTGAATGTCCCACACAATCAGCACATTCACTATGACTGCACATTTTACAATGATTGTTTCTATTATAATTACTTATTCTACTATCTGCTAAAAATTAAAAACATAGATTATTTTAACTTAGGAATTTGTGGCACTGGGCTGGAGAGACGGCTCAGCACTTAAGAGCAGTGGCTGCTCTTCCAAGGGGACTTGGGTTCCCAGCACCTACATAGTGGCTCACAACCATCTATAACTATAGTTCCAGAGGATTGGATGCCTTCTTCTGGGATCCAAGGGCATCAGACATACATGTGGTGCATAGACATACATGCAGACAAGACATGCATATACATAAAATTAAGTAAATTTTTTAAAAAAGTTTTTGTGACATTTTTTGCCTAGCCATTCAGAAAATACATATATACTTTATATAATCATGTTTTTTATTACAAACTCAAAAATGAGCAAATATGAGAACATAAGCACATGTTCTTTGCATTTTTTCTTTTTTAAATGTTATTTAAATAACATTTTTTTCATTTATTTTACATACCAACTGCAGTTTCTCCTCCCTCCTCTCCTCCAAGACCCCTCTTCCCATCTAGCCCGCCCCCATCTTCGCCTTTTTTTTTTTTTGAGCTGAGGACCGAACCCAGGGCCTTGAGCTTGCTAGGCAAGCGCTCTACCACTGAGCTAAATCCCCAACCCCCATCTTCGAATTTTTATGAGCATTGACACAGCACTACAAGCAGCAATCCCCACACCAGACCTCCTGCGGGATGTCACTGTCCAAACAAACACACACTGGAAATAAAGAAATTTACACTTGGATTATGTGTATATACCATGTACATGAAACATTTTTCAAGCTTAGACTGGGGTCTCATTGCCAATCACATAAAGTCTATGTAAATATTTCAAAATCTGGAAAACTAAAAAATGTGGAGCATCTTTAGTATCAAGCATTTCATATACAAAAGGAATATTCAAGCTATATATATTAAGAAACATTTTAAAATCTGAAGAAAATGTCAAAATCCCCAATTCTAATCCTGCATTGCAGATAATGGTTATTTAATATGCACACTGTTGCTACTATTTCTTCTATGTACCACTTAAGCTCTAAAATACTAACATCTCTGTAATGATTTAATCCTCATTCCTGCCTTGTGAGACACTCTTGTATCTACATTTAGCAAATGGGGAAGTTAGGTACTGCATCAAGAGTCTGAAAAAATAATCAAGGATATATATACAAATAAGAGTTGTGTTTAACAGGCTCTTCAAGGCAAGACAGAGAGCTGAGGTTGTATGAAGGTCAGTGATAGAGCACTTGGCTAGTATTTAAGACGCTCTAGAGCATTCTGAACTCCAGGACAAAGAAAGAAATCGATTTGTTGATCAATACATTAATGGACAAAGTAACTTGGTGTGCGCGCACGCGCGCACGCACACACACACACACACACACACACACACACACACACACACACACAAAGAGGGACTTTTGAAGGCCTTTAAAACAGAAATCCTGCTAGTTACAATATGGATGAACCTGGAGGATGCTATACAAAGTGAAATGTATCACGAACAGGAAGAAAAACACTATATAACCTCACCTATATGAAAAACCTAAACAAGTCAAATCTAGGAAAACAAAGAACAGAATCCCTAGGGGTGAAGAAGTGCAGTTTATGTGATACATTGGTCAGAGGACACCAAGATCCGGTCATACAGGATGAATCAAGTCTACAAATACAATGAACACCCTGATGACTGTAGTTTGTACTCTACTGCATATCAGAACTTCATTAAGACTAGATTTCAAATGTCCTTAAACATACACAAAGACTTATAAACCATGTGAGATAGATATGGTAATTGGACTAACTTCGTTAATAATTTCAGCATATATAAGGATACCAAAACACCATGCTATATATCTATATCAAATATACGATATTATACAAGAATTAATCATGTAGGCAGTCTATTCCAGTATCCATCCCTTTTGAGGGTGCATGTATCTGTTGTATATTTTGTGTGTGATGTACATACATGAATGTACAGGTGTATATGGCCATAAGTGTGCTTGTGGGGGCTGGAGAGATGACTCAGCAGTTAAGAGCACTGGCTGTTCTTCCAGAGGTCCTGAGTTCAATTCCCAGCAACCACATGGTAGCTCACAACCATCTGTAATGAGATCTGGCGCCCTCTCCTGACTTGCAGACGGAACACTGTATATATAATAAATAAATAAGTTTTTTAAAAACAAAGTTGTGCATGTGGATTCCAGAGCAGAATGTAGGTATTTTTCCACCATGGCTTTCCACCTTATCGCCTTGAGAGAGTGTCGCTCACTGAACTGGAAACTTGCCATCTTGGCTTGGCTGGCTGGCCAGTTAGCTCTCAGGATACTCCTGTTGCTACCCATCAAAGCTGGGATTACAGATGCAGCAGCCATAACCATTGTTTATGCAGGTCCTCATGTTTACAGAGCAAATGCTTCTGACCCACTGCACATAGTCCATTCTTTTAACAAACAGAAAACTGTAGTGGGTAGCCATTCCAGCTTTGATCTGGAAGTTCCAACCCCCATTGAGACTTCGGCAACTGTCACGCCTACAAGGCAGGGCCAAGGGAGGCGCCTGGGGACCCGAGATCTGGATCGGCGGGACCCTGGAGAGTGGAGGCGGACCAAACAGAGCTCCAGAGAACACCGCTGGACTGCGATACACTTTCCCCAGACCCCTCGACCTACCTATCCCTTAATTTGTAAGTTACGCCATTAAATAAATCTCCTTTTAACTACGTGGAGTGGCCTTAATAATTTCACCAATAGAAAACAAACCTCTAGTCAGGCAACTGGCATATCCTGTACTCTCAGTGCTTTGAGAAGCCGAGGTAGAAGGACCTCTTGATCCCAGGAGTTCAAGGCCAACCTGGCAACACATTAAGATCCAACCTCCCAAACACTTTGAGACAGGATTAGGGTCTCACAATGGAGCCCAAGCCAACCTCTTAATTCATGTTCTTCCTGCCTCAACCTCCCAAGAGCTTACATTATAGCCACAAAACCATGCTTTTGTTTTAATATAAGATAAGGGGCTAGAGAGGTGGCTCATCCATAAAGAATGTTTGTTGCAAAAATAAATAAATAAAAATAAAAATAGCCGGTGGCACACACCTTTAGTCCAAGAACTCAGAGGCAGAGAGAGGCAGGTGGATCTCTGTGAGTTCGAGGCCAGCCTGGTCTCTGTGAGTTCCAGGATAGCCAGAGCTATTACACAGAGAAACTCCATCTTGAAAAACCAAAAGTAATAATAATAATAAAACAGCTGGAGAGAGAACTCAAGGGTTAAGAGCCCTGGCTGCTCTTCCTAGGACCCAGATGGTGGCTCCCAACTATCTTCAACTCCAATCCAAGTCCAGTCGTGGGAATCCATATAATAAAAGTGAACCTCCACATTCTCCAAGCAGTATATGTGTACACCCACCCAATAAATAGATAGGAAATGTAATTTTTTTTAAGTAAGAGCAATGGAAAAAGACACCTGACACTGACCTCTAGAAACCACATGTGCGCGCACACACACACACACACACACACACACACACACACACACACAGAGAGAAACTTTTTAAAAAGTTTTAGGAAACAACCTTAAAACAGAAAGCAAGAACAACAAAAAGAACTTTCTTTTAGTGTTGCTCTTTAATTCACTCTATAGAGGAGAAACTGACAGAGAGAGGAAAGGCAGGACTTACCACTCGCACATTAGTGAGCACAAACAGAGTGGGACAGTTTAGGAATCTGAGCTCTTCTACTGCTCAAATCATGCTACCTTCTCTGCTTTCAAAGGGATTTAGAAAACTCCCCATTTTCCTCCTTTAAACTAAGCAAAGGCAAATACGTACATTTTGGAAAGAGGAGCTTGTCTTTCTTACAGGTGACTCAGGTTTTACTCTCTTTTCCGAAGCTACTTCTGCATCCACGTGGTGGACATCCTTTCCCAAGCAATGACGTTTTCTCATCTATAAACACAGAAGCAAATGAAGGGCAGCTTGACTGTGGATTTTTCTACCTTCCCTCTTCTTCCTTCAAAAGGCTATTTCTTTTTTTTTTCAATAATTTATTTATTTGTATTTTATGTACATTGCTGTTTTGCCTATATATATGTCTGTGTGAGGGTGTCAGATTCCCTTGGGACAGGAGTTATAGACAGCTGTGAGCTGCCATATGGGAGCTAGGAGTTGAACCCGGGTCCTCTGGCAGAGCAGCCAGTGCTCTTAACCACTGAGCCATCTCTCCAGCCCCCCAAAGGCTATTTCTAATTAGTAGTAATAAAAATCTTAAAAAAAAAAAAAAAAAGAACCCTCATAACACCATTTAAGTAAAAAAGAACATATAGTAACAACCACTGAGTCCTAATCAAGTATCAACATATAAAAATTATTACAAAAAAATTACTGTATTACAGTGATCTTCTTATAAAATTATCACATCATGTAGATAACAAATTCAGCATTACAGCAAAGCCAAACCACACACCTAATTGGAAAATACATTAATAATTAGGCCATATTCTAGATTCCAGCTTCATTCATAATTGGTACTTTTATAAAAATAAGCTCGTTTATTCTACTTCCAAAAACAAGGTTTAATTCTAGAAATTGTTGGTAGACACTTAAACTATGTAAAACTAGAATATAAGCAATTTAAGCATATCCATCCATCTGAAAGTACTCAATTATTTACATACATGTGACATGTTAATTAGTAATCCCTCTTTTATATTTATAACTAAGTGTATTAAATTCCCAATCTCCCTATCTCTGTAGTATACATTTCAAGAAGATTATGTTCCTCTACAAAAAGCATATTCCATATGAAGTATCTGGTAATCAGGTCTTTAAGTAAGTTTTAGAAACATGCATGTCTTATCATGTATTGATCTTAAAAACTCAGTAAGTAGCCAGGCATTTGGGTGCTACATACTTGCAATCTCAGCTATGCAGAAAGCCAAGAAAGGATCACAGGTCTAAAACCAGTCTGGGCAACTCAGCAAGATCTTGTCTCAAAATAAGTGAGTGGACTGTAAGCTCAGTGGGAAACAGTATTTGCATTGCTGGAGGACCTGGATTCAATACCTGTGCATGCACAAACCCCAAAAACTCCACTAAGACAACATTAAACCTCAGTAAATAAGAGTACACTTTGTCATTATACTTACACTATCAATATCAAAATTATCTATAGTGTGAAAATTCCTATCAAAGGTATTTGAACAAAAGAAAACGCTATTAAGTAAAAAATACTGAAGAGCTTTAAAAGTACAGTAATGGGGCTGGAGAGATGGCTTAGCACTTAAGAGCACTTGTTGCTCTTGCAGAGGACCCAGGTTTAGTTCCCAGCACCTACATGGTGTTTCACAAGCACCTATAACTCCAGTTCCAGGGGATCCAATAACATCTTCTGACCTCTGCTGGCACCAAGAATGCACGTGGTGCACATACACACATGCAGACAAAACATTCACCCACATAAATAAATGAAATTTAAAAACCAAACCAAAATAAATGATTAAGTACAATATTCTTCAACACCATAGATACTAAAGCTGTAACAATATAAAACAATATGGCCCCTGTACAAGAATGGCATAAAGAGCCACAAAGCACTCTGCATTTTTAACACTCATATGCAAGATCTAGTCTAATAAAAAAAATCAGATGAGAAAGCAGAAAAGAAGCTGTTTGGCAAAAGAAGTCCAGCAGGGTGGGTTAAATGGGAGGGTGTCACTATGTTCAAAACACATAATACCCATGCATAAAAATGTCATCACGAAACCTATTATTTTATGGAATGAATTATATTAATTTTGAAAATTAATAATTCTAAAAAATTATAGCTCCTATATGTTTAGGATATGCCTTAAGTAAATATCAAATTCTTCATGCCTAAGAAACCTCATGCAGTTGCTTTATGTTGGTGTGAACAATTGCTACACAAACAACTTCCTCTGCAGCAAGTAACAATAAAAGGAAAATGACCACTCACTTTGTAGCTATGACACAATTAACTATTCTCTACCAGTGCCACTAACTTCCTGTTCAACTATCCCTAACTAGATAACTAGGTTATTTTAACAGTTAATAAACTGCTTACCTGCTGTGTAGTTTCCAAGGGTCGGATTCTTTTCTTCTCTGTTTGAAAATCATCATCATCATCATCTCTCTGTACCGATGCCAGTTTCTTGGCAGATAACTTTGCAGCCAGAGTATTTTTTTCAGGAGAGTCTTATATAAAAAGTAATTTTATAATAAATATGATAAATTTATAATAAAACTATTATAATTTATTCTAGGCAATATTTTTGAAGGAGAAAACCAAGATTTAAGACATTACTAGAAATTTTACAACAGTTTAAAATCTATCAATTTTTTTTCCATTGGCTGATTGATTGGGCACTGTCTCATTATGTAACCGTGGCTGGCCTGGAACTCCCTATGTAGACCAGACTAGCCTCAAAATCAAAGAAATCCATTTGCCTCTGCCTCTGAAATTAAAAATATGCACCAAGACATCCAGCAAGTTATTTTCTTGAAAACTTTTTATCACCCCATTTATTTTTACCATAAATACAAAAAGCATTTCAAGAAACATACATTTAACAGGAAACACCCAATTTATTGTTCTTTTTTTGTTTGTTTGTTTTGTTTTTCGAGACAGGGTTTCTCTGTTTAGTTTTGCACCTTTCCTGGAAATTGCTTTGTAGACCAGGCTGGCCTCGAACTCACAGAGATCCGCCTGCCTCTGCCTCCCGAATGCTGGAATTAAAGACGTGTGCCACCACCGCCTGACCAATTTATTGTTCTCACAGACTCATGTTTTATAGGCTATACTCTATTATGCAGTTGCCTGGCATGTGAGAAGCTTTAGGTTCAATCTCTAACACAAAGGATCCTGACAAAACATGCAAACTGAGTCCCTCAAGACTCAATCAATGTTATTTCATTTCTATGAAAACCTTAATGTTCCTTTCCTACTGGGCTTCATCATATGCTTTAGGATAAAAAGTGTTCACAGAATAAAATTCATATGTCTTCATTTCACAACCCTGAAAACTCATTCTTAAAGCCATCAAAAAAACCTCTTAACTCCTAAATTACAAAATTATTCCCATCTTACCAGAGTGAATTTTAAAGAAATGCCCACTATTACTAAGTATAATTTGCAGAACTTAAGGTGTAACAGATTTGCCATTTTACTTCAAAATCCTTAAGGATAATTTCAGGACTGACCAACACAACATTCTGCTTTCCGGAAACGTGGCAAACACATTTCCTTCTCCCCAGTGTCCGTAATACTTTTTTTCACTAACCTACCCATCAGTGTCTCCTGTTTCCTGTGTACCTTTTCCTAAAGGTACCTCCATCCTCGGTTCCTCTACACGTTCCCTCCACTTCTGTGGCCTGAATCCCTTTAGTAGACACTCCTTACACCGAGTCCACACAATGACCAGAGAGCATGAAAATCAATGAAACTGAAACAATGCCTTGACGGGAAAGGTTTACAAACCACCCACTCACAGAAAGATCTACAGAAGCAGGTAGTGTGAGCCTACAAACACAAAAGGGAGTCTATGCCATATTGTGGTGTGTGTTTAGTGGGAGAATGTGTGTTCATGCATGTGTGCATACACAAACATGCATGTGCACATATGTGCATATTCAGGGAAGCCAGAGAGAGGTCAACTGCAGGTATCTACCTCAATCGCTTCCCCACTTTTTTTTTTCTTCACTGATGAGCTAAACTGATGAACAACCGAGCTACAGGGATACTTTCACCTCCTCAGTGCTGGAGTTAGATGCACACCATTAACTCGGGTTTTTTAAAGACTTCTTTTATTATTTTCAATTGTATACATGCACATGAACGTAGGTGCCCACAAAGGATATGAGTGCTGAGAACTGAACTCTGGTGTCCTGGAAGAGCGGTACTTGCTCTTAACCAGCCCCACACTCAAGATTTTTAAGTGGGAGATGGAAAAATCAAACTCAGGTCCTTGTGCTTGCACATTCAACATTGTAACAAATGCTCTTCCTGGACCCAGAGTAGGAACAGTTTTTTAAAAAATAATGATTAATAGTTCAACAATAGGGATCAAAGACCCCAAACTTCCATGATCCAGAAGCCTTTCCCCATAAAAAAACAAAGCCATTAAAAAACAAAAATTTTAAATTTATAAAGTTTTCTTTATATGCCATAATATGATTTTTATTGTCCTGTACTAAGGTTATTCTTACTTAATGCATGGTAGATTAATTTTCTAAACTACATTATTGTTTTTGGTATAGTTCCTAGTCTTTTTTTTTTAAGATTTCATTTATTTAAATGTTATGTGTGTGAGTGTTTTTTCTGCATAGATGTATATACACCACACACATGCAGTGCCTGTAGAGGCCAGAAGAGGGCATGGGATTCCCTTGAACTGGAGTTACACAAAATTTTGAGTCACCATGTGGATGCTGGGATTCAAACCTAGGTCCTCAGGAGCCAGCTCTCCAGCTCCTTATCTTCTATTCTCTACAGTTTAGGAGATTACAAGGAGTTCGTCAAAGAGGTTAAAGTATTAAGGCACATAACCTAAAAAGAAGTGAGATATCTCCAAACTATACGAAGAGAGAAAGAAGGGTGGGGAAAATGAGAGGGTCGACTCTCAGAAATCAGCACAGAGAAAACTATTTAAACAGGCAATTCACTACAGACGCCATTCCTAAGAACCAATAAACGTGTAAAATCTTCACTACTCATGTCATACTATCAACTACAACTCCAAGCTGGGGTTGGGGTTGGCCCTAGGTTCAATCCATAGCACTGTAAACAAGAGGTTAATTAAAATACAGTATCAGTGAGAACACCAAACATGCAAGAATGGTTCAAATTTAAGAAAACTGGAAACATCAAGAGATGTGTTGAAAATCTCCACTCACAAGCACATCCCTAATGTTTTAAGTTTCATTCCCCACCATCTCAATAAAGCTAATACAGCAACCCAATGAGCAACATGAATTTTTTGTTTACCGTTGTATAAAAAGATGTTTATACTGTACCTACTACTGTAGCTATTAACTATGTAATATTATTATCTGAAAAAAAGAGGTAACTTAATTTTAAAATTCCTTATTTCTAAAAATACCTTATTGCTAAAAAAAAACAAAAAACTAACAACCATGCTTTTAGAAAAAAAAATAGCATCAACTGTGGAATATTATTTTACACTGTGAATATATGCACCACTGTGATTGGTTTAATAAAGAAGCTGACTGGCCAGTAACTAGACAGGATAAGGTTAGGGGGGAAAACCAGACTAAGAACACTGGGAAGAAGAGGGGCAGAGTGAGAGAGATTGCCAGGAGATGCAGGAGAGCAAGACATGCTGGAGGGCAGATAAAGCCATGAGCCACATGGCAATAACAGATTAATAGAAATGGGTTAATTTAAGTATAGGAACTAGTTAGTAATAAGCCTGAGCTATCAGCAGGGCATTTATAATTTATATTAAATCTCTGTGGCAGTTATTTGTGAACTGGAGAGTGGGAAAGAAGAGTCCACCTACAACCAATAAGTTTGTTCAAATAAGAGTTGCCACAGACTTTTGACTTGAAAAAAATACAGCTGGGTGGTGGTGGTGCACACCTTTAATCCCAGCACTAGGGAGGCAGAGGCAGGTGGATCTCTGTGAGTTTGAGGCCAGCCTGGGCTACCAAGTGAGTTCCAGGAAAGGCGCAAAGCTACACAGAGAAACCCTGTCTTGAAAAACCAAAAAAAAAAAAAAAAAAAAAAAAAAAAGAAAAGAAAAAAAAGAAAGATAAATATAATTGAAGGATTTCAGGGCAGCTAAAATTCCAGTCCTAGGGCCTTTGAAGCTGTCAGGAATACACAGGGAATAAAGACACACACTGCAGACAAAATACTTATACATTCAAAATTGGGGGGGCCTGCCCCCACTTTTTCCCCCAGGGTACTCTTGAGCAGGGAGAAATCAGGAATATGTAGATAGAAGGATATATATAGAGAGACAGCTAGAAAACACAGGATAGCCTCGGGAGGGCCTGGGTCAAAACCCACCAGCACCTTCTGTCTCTACTAAAGGGCTTTTTAAAGGAATGCAAAGGGGTGGAGGAAAAGTCCTTCCCCAGCACAGCCAAGCTTAGACCATCTCAGGCACCTGGTGACCATGCACATGGTCAAGCCATCCCCTAATGCAGCCCTGCTGGGCAAAGCAAGCTCAGATCTCACTAGGAAGCTTTTGTGGGCTCCCACACAAAATAAATAAATAAATTTCTAAAACAGAAATTTCAGAAAAATTAATCCTACTAGCTAAATTTATCTGAATTAAGCTTCAGAGTAGTAATAACTAAGGAAGGATCCCAGACAGATTCCAACAGACACAAGCAGAAGATAATTTACCTCGACAGGGTGACGAAGTCCCATTTCTTTCAGACAGCTTGCTTGGACTACTGAAATGAGGTGACGTGCCTGTGCTCATGTCACTGTAAGTAAAATTCTTTGAATGGCAAGCACAACAACATGATGATGGCACCTCAGGCTTTTTATTCAAGCCCTCATCCACTGGCTTTCCTAGAAAAAAAAAAAACACCTCTATTTACCATATAACTAATAAATAGTAATTTTCTTTTCAGCTACAGTAAGCAATCACCTCAGTTCACCAAGGATTAGAAGTTTCCCAAGTTACAAGATTAAATTAAGAGAAACAATCTACGTAAATCTTATCTACACTATCAAATCAGGACGGAAGAGAAAAGCTATGCCCGCAGTGTGTTCAGAAATGTTATCAATGTATAAACTATTAAAACAAAATAATGATTAATAATGTAATTAAAAGTATAACCACTTTTGTATTTATTTATATTCACATTTTCTTTCAAAATCAAGCAAAAAGGGCAAAAACAAAGATGAAAAGTATATGCTTCATTATTGCTATTTCCCTAAAGGAAGAATTTGAAATTTCAGTATCCAAAACACTAAAGATAAGGATTGCCACAGTCCACATTATCCTTATTTTTTATCCCTTTTTTATTTTATTTATTTATTTATTTATTTATTTATTTATTTAATTTTTTGAGACAGGGTCTTTCTAACAAAGCCCTGGCTGTCATGGAACTCACTAAGTAGAACAGGCTGACCTTGAACTCACAGAGATCTACTTGCCTCTGCCTCCTGAGTGCTAGGATTAAAGATGTGAACCACTACACCCAGCCTCACATTATACTTCTATTTCTTTTTAACAGTCTTTATTTACATTTATTTTACCATTTGCCTGTGTTAATGTGGGGAATCGGGTCCATATGCCATGGTGTGGTGTGGAAAACAGAGGACAATCTGCAGGAGTCAGCTTTCTCCCTCTACCCTGTAGTTCCAGGGATGAAACTCGGGTCATCAGAACTGGTAGTGAGCACCCTGACTGCTGAACCACCTTGCCCATCCCTTGTTATCACATTCTACCAGTAACATAAACATTTCTTTTTTATTACACTTGTTTATGTATATGTGTGTACATGCCACGGTGTGCATGTGGAGGTCAGAAGATAACTTGCAAGAGTCAGTTCTCTTTGCCCACCAGGTGGGTTCTAGGGATTGAAAGCAGGTCACCAGGCTTAGAGGTCAGCCTTTAACACTGAGCCATCTTGTCAGCCCAAACATTTTCTTTATTAATGCATCTATACACATATACACACCTGTGATTAACTTCACATTCTTCTGATACTCTAGGTCAGACTTATCTATTTATATACCTAAAAAATATTCAATACTATATTTCAGATTGTTATTAAGATTACAAAGTCTTGGGGCTGCAAAGATGGTTGAAGTTAAGAGCATTTCCTGCTCTCCCAGAGAAACCAAGTTCAGTTTGCAGCATAACCATGGGGAAGTCCACAACCCTCTGTCACTCTAGCTCCAGGTCCTCTAACACTCTCTCCTGCCCTCTGTGAGCACCTTATATAAACCTATACACACATAATTGAAAATAAAAATAAATCTTTTTAAAAAATTAAAGTTTTTCATCAAGTAAATATTAATAGCAATTTTGTGTTTACCCAGATGATGTCATACTTTAATAAAAAATAATCATACACAAGCTTATCAGCAAATACATGGAACAATTACAAATAGATTTTACCTCGAAACCTAGTTTTTACAAAAAGAAACAGTAATTCAAGTTGACCTGTAGGAATTTACATTTAAGTCCAGGACTCACCGTTGGAAAGGGTGCAACGGGAGCCAGTACCCCAGTATCTTTTGTTATATGGGTATATACATTTTTACTTATTTTCTGGAAGTTCTGAGTACTGAATCCCGGCCCCTGCACCTGCTAGGAACGTGTTGTATCACTGAACTACACCCCTTGCCCAGGACTCGAGTTTGGTTTTTTAAGACAGTTCCCAGGCTTCCTTTAAGCTCCTCACTCTCTGGCCTCAGCTCCCTGAGTGCTAAGGATGCAGGGGCGCATGCTCAATCCTAGCCAAATTTATTTTTTGAGACAAGGTCTCACTGTGCAGCTCTGGCAACAATTAACGTAATGGGACATCACAGAAATTCATGCAATCGTGATTATAATAGGCGTCTATTTATCTGGTATTCAAACGAGCAGAGCAACAAGTATCTGTTGTTTACTCATTTATTTAGAGCTGGGGTCTTGCTATGTAGCCCAGGCTGTCCTTTAACTCACTGTCCTCCTCTTCACCCTCGAAGTACTAGGCTTACTGGCATGTACCACTACTCCAGTTTTATATGTCTACTTCTTCATACAGTCCATATTTTAATGTTATAAAAGTCAGATAAGGGGGCTAGAGAGATGGCTCAGCAGTTAAGAGCACTGGCTGCCCTTCCAAAGGACCGGAGTTCAATTCCCAGCACCCACATGGCAGCTCACAACTGTCTGTAACTCCAGTTTCAGGGAACCTGACACCCTCACACAAATGCACATAAAACAAAAAGTCAGATAAGCAAATACATTCAAGGATATATTCAAGCAATTAGTATATGCATCAGCACCATCAGAGCTCTATCTCCTATTTCTTAGATACAAATTATCATCTCGTTATTTTCATAAGAACTCTAAACATCTAAAATATTCACATACACTCTGCATGACCAAGTAAAAGGACTGAATCGTGTTAATATTATTTAAAAATTAATTTTGACGTATTCAACTTCTTTCAGAAGACTTGTAACGTTTTTGTTTTATTTTGGGACGGGGTTGCTGTGTAGCCTTGGCTGGCCTGAAACTTGTATATAGACCAGACTAGCCTTGAACCTACAGCAATCTTCTTGCCTTTGGCTCCTGAATGCTAGAATTATATATGTGCACCACCATGCCTGGCACAGGTAATACATCTTGAAGAAATGTCTTGACAGAGATTATTTAAATCAGTTAGAACAATGTTTGAACCAGTCTAGATACAGTGTAGTATATTACCTGGGGCTGGCCTAATTGTTCAGCAGGTAAAGGCACACTTGTCACTGAGCCTGATGACCAGAGTTCAGTACGCCAGACCCATACGGTGGAAGGAGAGAAGTGATTCCTGCAACTTGTCCTCTGACATCCATACCATAGCACATGTGCCCACACATATACGCACACACAAAATAAACATAATAATTTTTTTTTATGAGAACTACTTACCAATATGAGACTGTTGCCATGCTAATGCAGAACAAAGCAAGGCTAAACTTTTTCCACTTCCTGTGGGACTCTCCAACAAACAATGCTGACTACTGTTTAGCCCTCTGACAATCTGTGGACAAAGAAATCATTTTTAAAAAAAGGAAACAATAATCGATTACTCATCAGCTCTCTCTCCATCGAACAGGAACATGAAGAGAACAGCACAGAAGAGTGAGGAAGCACTCCAGGAGACAGTAACAGCAGAAGGAAGAACCAGAATTTTGTTAACCTAGACTTTACTCCTTTTCTTCTCCCTAACAGTCTGCTGGCTTTACGAGTACATCAAACACACACACACACACACACACACACACACACACACACACACACACACACAAAAAAAAAAATTAAATAAGCAACTTATATTTAATTATACAGCCACAAATTGTTTCTACAAAACTGTAATACGTGCTGAAGAGGTGGCTCAGCAGTTAGGAGCAGTTGTTGCTCTTGCAGAAGATCCAGGTTCAATTCCCATACACATGTGGCAGCTTAAACTGCCTCTAACTCCAGTTCCAGGAGATCCAATGCCCTATTCTGGCCTCCTCAGGCCTCAGGTACACATGAGGTACACAGACATACCTGCAGGCAAAACATTCATACACATAAAAGTAATCTAAAAAAACAAAGAAAAAAAAAGGACCGTAATACACTAATACCTATGCATATGTATGAGAAAAAACTTAATGAGCAATACCACTAATGGAAAGACTAACTGTTATAACCCTAACGTCTGCCCCATCTATGACCTGTAGGAATGCATGGAGGGACTGGTCTTGTGGATCAAAAATTGCAGGATCTCCATGAGTTGGGGCAACAGCAAGATATCCGAGAGTCCAGTGATGATTGTGCACCAGAGGCTTTGAACTAGAAGACACATCACAATAAGCATTTTGTCAGTGGGGCTGATTGGACAAAAGGGTATACTGCATGACACACCACAGCTCTCAATGCAACAAGGATGAATGAAGACGTGTTGGAAAGAGTGAGGCGGAGGGTTTTTGTTTGTTTGTTTTGTTTTGGATTGATTTTTTGGGGGGGATTCTTTTGGAGGGATACTGGAAGGGAAAGGGAGATTGGGGTACATGATGTGAAATTCCCAAATAATCAATAAAGAACTGTTAGAAAGAAAAACAAAAATGTAAAATGAAGATGTCCAAGTCCACTAAGTACACACCCTAAACCCTTCCTATGTGAACACAAGAAATAGGTGTAAGACAGTTCATAGTAGCATTTTTTGCTAATTCTTAGAGATTATGAGCAACCTAAATACCACCAGCAGGAAAATGGACAGATTATGCTAGCCATACAATAAAATGTCATACTGGAATTAAAATGATTTAACAACCAATGAGGACATATCTTAAATACAATGTTCCAATGAAAACAAAAACAAACAAACAATTGTTAGGGTACAGCTCAGTAGAAGAGTACTTGCCTAGCATCATGAAGCTCTGTGATCATCCCTACCACCACTATTCTACCTTCATTTCTGTGGCTGTGATATAATACTTTGACAAAAAACAACATAGTGGGAAAGGAATTTATATTCTATGTACAATTCCAGGTTATAGTCCATCAGACCACGGAAGTCACCATGGCAAGGCCTTACATCCGTAGTCAAGAGCAGAGAAATGAATGCACATATTCGTTTCCTTGTGCTGAGGTCTAGTTTTCCACCCTTCACAGTTCAGGACCCCCTGTCTAAGGAATGATACTAACCACGATGGCCTGGGTCTTCTCACATCAGTTAAGACAATCCCCTACAGGGGCAGGAGAGATGGCTCGTCAATTAAGAACTCCAGCTGTTCTTACAGAGGGTCTGGGTTGAATTCCCAGCACACAGCATGGAAGCTCACAACCATATGTAACTCCATTTGTAACTCCATTTCCAGGTATCCAATACCTTTTTCTGGCCACCTCAAATACTAGGCATGTACATGGTGCACATATATACATGCAGGCAAACTACTTATACACACACACACACACATTGAAAAAAAAAAAAGGTAATCTCTCACAGACATGCCCACAAACCCAAGGTAGACAATTCTTGATTGAGATTCTTTCCCTGGATGATTCTAAGTTGTCAAGTTGATGATAACTATCACAATCATCAAAAAAAAAAAAATCTACAAAAAAAAAAATATGGCCGGGCAGTGGTGGCGCACACCTTTAGTCCCAGCACTCGGGAGGCAGAGACAGGTAGATCTCTGTGAGTTCAAGTCCAGCCTGGGCTACAGAGTGAGTTCCAGGAAAGGCACCAAAGCTGCACAGAGAAACCCTGTCTTGAAAAACCACAAAAAAAAAAAAGTACAATATTTCATTCACAAAGTTTAAACATATGTAAAATACTCTACATTGTTAAGGATAAGTACATTTGAAATTATCCAGAAAAACAAAAATTGCATCTGTACTAAACGTGCAGGCTTTATTATTCCCTAAATATCTAATACATAGTTGTGAATATCACAATTATTTACACAGCATTTATATCAAGCATGGTAAGCAATCTAGAGATGATCTAAAGTCTATGGGAAACTTACTTGTACAATATATACAAATAGTAGCACCATTTTACATAAAGGAATTGCACATCTACAGATTTTGTTATCCAAGGTGGGTCTTAGAACCATTCACCAAAATATGCTGAGTTTTTTTTTTTTTTTGGTTTTTCGAGACAGGGTTTCTCTGTGTAGCTTTGCCTCGAACTCACAGAGATCCGCCTGGCTCTGCCTCCCGAGTGCTGGGATTAAAGGCGTGCGCCACCACCGCCCGGCAAAATATGCTGAGTTTAAAGACCGTCAGCTGTACAAGTGTGTGGACCAGAGTCTGGATCCCCAGAAGGCATATAACAAGCTATGTTTGAGGGACACATACCCATTCGCCCAGCACTACAGTGGGCAGAGGTAAGAGGAGATAGAGGGCTTGCAGACTGCCAGCCTAGCCAAAAACAACAACGAAAACACAAGTTCCAGATTCATCTGAGACTATGCCTCAAAAGAAAAAGGTAGAGAATGACTGAGGACACTCAACATAGATGATACATTCCTCTCTCTCCTCTCTCTCCTCTCTCCTCTCTCTCTCTCTCTCTCTCTCTCTCTCTCTCTCTCTCTCTCTCACACACACACACACACACACACACACACACACACACACACACACACTAAAAATCAAAGGAGCTGAGAGCGTTTTTCAGATGTTCTTCTTTATATCCTGACCAAACATATACAGCTTAGGAGTTATGGATATTACTTTCCTAAAAGCAGGTGCTCTTCCAAATGAATCCAGCAAATATTAGCCCTCATTTTGTACCTGAGAATAGTTACAAATTCAATGTACAGTTGGAATCATAAGCTACAGCATCTTAATAAAGACTTAACTGATGTAAAATACTTACAGAACTCATCATAGCAAGCTGTGCTGGATAAGCTTTACAAGGAAAGTTAATCTTCACCCCACCAATAGTGTATTCAGACGACACTGAGGACATTTTGCTTTCTTCTTTGCTTTAGATAATGTCACTGCAAGAGAAACAATAAAATCAATACTGAGGGGCCGGAGAGATGGCGCAACAAGTCAGGAGCACTTGCTGCTCTTCCAGAGGAACTAAGGTGGATTCCCAGCACCCACATTAGGCAGTTTACAAATGCCTGTAACTCCAGCTCCAAGGGATCTTACACCCTTCTCCGGCTTCCGCAAGAAGCTGTGTTTCGCTGGCACACCCATACAAATAAAAAGTATTTATAGTTAAGTATTGAAACAATCTCATTCATAAAAGCCAGACACCTAGCAACAGAACAGAAGTCTGATAACAAAAACTGCGATGAATAAGAACGTATACCAAAGCAATGGAAGTAAACCATTTCTCAGTCCTATAAATAAATCTCGGGGTCAAGATCACGCGCCAGAGTCTGACTGTCACCTGGATCCGGCACTCCTACTCCATGACAGATTAGTTATGTGACTTCAGACAAATCTCTTAACTTGTCTAGGACTCCACATTCTCAAGTGCAAAATAAGAACAGCAACAGAATCACCCCGAGAGGACTGCTGTAAAGGTTAAATAAAATAATGGAGAAGCACACAGAATGTGGCAGAAGACGCACAAGTTCCTGGAACAACTCAGATGACACCGTATCAACTTCAGAAAGACAGATTTCTGAAGAAGCTCTGCGTTCCCTAGCCCACTCTTTTTTCTCGTAGTCTGCACATTCCTATTTCCCTTTTCACACTTTCCCACACAGAAGAAGAGAGGAACTGACAAGCAGTCAAGAAGCAGAGGCTGTATCTGTGACCTATCATTTTACTTCTACGGTCAAAAATTCTTCTCTGCAATAATACCTCATTTTAAAATCATTGTAAAGGAGAAAGTATCTTTCCACAGTAATATTTTTAATTTCTTAATCATCTTTTAATGGCTCGGGTGTGTCTTTTTTTTAAAAAAAAAATTTATTTATTTATCATGTATGCAGCATGTATGACTGCAGGCCAGAAGAGGGCACCAGATCTCGTTACAGATGGTTGTGAGCCACCATGTGGTTGCTGGGACTTGAACTCAGGTCCTCTGGAAGAGCAGCCAGTGCTCTTAACCTCTGAGCCATCTCTCCAGCCCCTTGTCTTTATCTAGGGAGCGGGCTCCCTGGGCCAGCACAGTAATTCTGAAGTCAGGAGACTACAATGGAAAGAAAATGGATTTGGATTCCACTGTTGGCATCTGCCTAACCTCTCAGACACTTTCACCGACCAAGAATTTTTGCAACTGTGAAAAAAAAAAAAGGTAAATTCAGCCTGGGGATGGAGATGGTTAAGACAGATTGTTCGACAGAACATGAAGTCAATAATAACTTTAACAGCTGCCTCTGTGCGCCAAAAGAATCACTACTCAAAGATATTTTCCAGTTCTAAATATTGTTCTGTCAGACAAGACCTGCACAAAATCAAGCCGCCATCAGTCAACATTCCAGCAGGCAGTACTAATTGGACTCAGTGGGTGGGGTGTGGGGGCAACATGAAGGTGGAAGAGGGCATCTGAAGGGGTCCAGGGGAGTGTGAAGGATAGACTGGAGATGGATATGATCAAGATACATTGTATACATATATGAAACTGTCAAAGAATAAAAGATTCTTAGAAAAAATTATCCAATCATCAAAGAATAAATAGAAGATTCTTAGAAAAATTATCCAATCACTGATCCTATCTGTAAACCTCTGAGGCTTAGTGGGCTCTAATTTCTTAATCTGAAGCAAAACCTCAATACTGTTTTACTAAAATTAACCTAGATGGCAATCTATGCCTGCAGCTGTGGCAGCACTCAAAACGTGGGAGCTTCCCTTGTAGAATGCATCAAAGAGAAACAAACTTCCAGATGTGGTGGTGCAGGTTTTTGACCCCCAACAATCAGGAGGCAGAGGATCTCTCTGAAATCGAGGCCAGCCTGGTCTACATAGCGAGTTCCAGGCAAGCCAGGACTGCAGGGTGAGATCCTGTTTCTTTAAAAAAAAAGAGCACTGTCTCCCGCCTAGAAGTACTGCCGTGGCGGAGGGCTGGGGCTACTTCCCGGCCTGCGTTCGCAGACGGTAAGGACAGGGCCCCTGCTCCTCAGCTCTCCTTCCCCATGCGCCCAGCTCTCGCCCAGCCAAGGATGCCCCAGCCGAGTGACTCTGTCACGCTGAAGGGCCTGAGCCCGCTAGCGCAGGACTGCAGGCGCCTGCCCCCCGCCGTCCTTCCCACTCGCCTGCGGCTGGCTCCAGCTCCGGGAGAAAAGGAAATGCTGGGGTTCGGGGGGAGCTCACGAGTGGGAAAGGGCCCCCTCACCTGCGTCAGGCGCTGCTAGGTGCCCAGCCACGGCCACTCCTCCTCCTGAGCGCGGCAGCTCAGCGGCTCCGCACCGACGAATTCGCGCCTCCCGCCCCTCGGCTCCCGGTGCCCAATCGCCGAGCACGCCAGCCAATCACGTCGCGGCCAGAGAGTAAACAGCCAATCATCGTGCGAAGTCGACGCTGTAACGCCCAATGGGAGCCTGCGAAATAAGTAGAGCCCCAAAGTACTTGGCGGCACCGGAAGGCGAGCATCCTCGGCGAGAAATACTGGAACAGATCTTGCAGGTTTGCTTGAAAGAAAAACATTCATGCCACTTTTGGAAACAGCCGATTTACCCTAGACAGTCAGTTCTCTGATGACTGGGAGACTAAATTGCAAGGGTCGGCGACCAACGAAAAGGAAACATTTTTCCTCAGTTGTCGTATCACGTGACTAAACTTTCCTAAGGTTATATACCGTCTAAAGACGGGGGGGGGGGACGACGGGGGGGGGGGGGCTGGGGAGGGGAAGCAAACTGGTGCCAGAATCACCACTCCTATGCCAAAATAAGTGAGAAGGTCACATGACAACTGGTACAGTATTCTGTGATAGTCAAGGCTTTCTCGGATATTAGAATCTGCGGCGGATAATCTCTCCAGATCACATCGACCTAACACTAAGGCTTATGGACCTAATTTAACATTTTATTCCTTGCCAAGAAGTACAATTTCCTCAAAGATAAAGGTTAACCATGACGTTGACTAATTTTTGGCCATTACTATTATCATATTTTTATTATATAGATAGATTATATATTGCTGTCGTTGTTGTTTGTAGCCTAAACTTTACTCAACTACTAGTGACCCCAAAAGGCAAAACCGTGAGGTAGTTTTCGAGAAGAAGCAGAAGACTGGTTGTTTGCCTTGCTTTCGATTTTTTATCTTCCTAAAATGATGGAATTTATGATCATAAAAAAATAAATTTAACTTTAACCTAGTAGCTCAGTGCCCAAAATGTATCCTAAAAACATAATCTAAGAGTGATAATTCCTCACTTGACAAGAGTCTCTTTGTAACACTAAAAAGTTATATAGTCCTTAGTCTAGTAATGGTTAGAGAGTTCTGATTTTCTGATTTATCAGTTCAATAGATTAGTCAATAAAATGATAATTAAACTGCTTTTCTTTGGGGGGGTTGGTTTTTCGAGACAGGGTTTCTCTGTGTAGTTTTGCGCCTTTCCTGGAACTCACTCTGTAGCCCAGGCTGGCCTCGAACTCACAGAGATCCTCCTTGCCTCTGCCTCCCAAGTGCTGGGATTAAAGGTGCATACTACTTAGGCTGACACCCTCCCAATTGTTAAATAACTACCCTCATTTTTCTCATGTGAACTCCTAATACTTTCGTTGACCCTCAGAGATTACTCTCCTTTGGCCTTATAGAGAGATACATTAAAGCCTTGGAACTAGGCAGTCCTAGGGCCTAAGTCCCCCTTGGTCCTCTTTTATATTAACAATTGTGGAATAAAACACAAAAACTACAGTTTGTTGATAAAGAATGAATATTTATAAATCAATATTCAAAATAGTTGCACACATCTGTTTGACTTCAATAAAAAAAAATCACATTGTGACAAAGTTTATAACCTTAACTTAAGATACATGAATATTAACATTTACTAGTATTATTTACACATTTTATTTACATTATCAACAAATTGGATGAAAAACAGCCTGTTATTACTTTAACACAGTAGGTCATGACTAGTCTTTGAAAATTAATCCACGAAATGTGTGCTGCATTTCATTACAAAACATACTTTGAACGTTTCTCAATTCCTAAAGAATTCTACTATTCACACAAAACATTCCAGAAAGGCCTCATTTAAAAAACAAAACAAGAGCAGTTGTATTTAATCTTAAGAGATTACAAAACTGCATCGTTTAAAAATATGAAAATTTTTATGGTATATCTTTAAAGCATATTCTTTTACTCTTCACATCAAAATTACTTAATTGAACATTAAGCATCTAATAAAAAGTTTTATATATATATTCCATCATGCATGATACTATGCACTTCATGATTGGAAACGGCTATAAACTGGTTTGAACAGAACACCTTCATGAGGTAGGGTCAGGGTCAAAGAAGGACAGTAAGATGTGACTAGGTGCTAGTGGAAAGGATGAGGCTAAATTTCTTTTTGTAAAACCAACTTTCCTTTTAGCTTGCTACCTTCTTCAATGAGAGGTCTGTTTTGAGTGGGGCGGCAAATGACTGAGGTATTTCTCAGAGAGCAAAGCAGTACCTTCTACATTGGCTACTTAATTTTTAAAAATGATTATGGTTATCTGAATGCATCTACTTAATCATGAAGTTCCTAACAGAGGATTGCAAATTTCAGCAACACAGTATTTTCCACATTATAATTTTTCCTGAGGTTCAAACACTGTATTTTCTTACTCAAAGATCTCCTCAAAGTAAAATGTGAGTTATAATCCTGATGATGAACCAAGAGCTCTATTGGGGTTTATTGCTCTAAAATTCATTTGATACATCTTTGCTCCTCTGAGAATTAGGTAATACAACATTATAAAAATAAATTTAAAAAAGAATAAATGAAATTTACTTTCAGGTTATTCTTTGCACAAAGATGTTTCTGTAACTACAATCAGTATCTTAAAATTTCAAGTTATTCAAGTATCTCTTTAAACATATGGCTTCATATATTAGGAAAAAATTGAAGCAGACATGTGAAATCTTTTTATCTTCATCTGTAACTCCAAGGCAGTCATTTACTTGGCTTTTTTTTTTTTTCTGGACAAGATTTCTTTATGTAACTCTGGCTGTCCTGGAACTGACTATATAGACCAGGCTTGCCTCAAACACAGAGATGCACCTGCCTCTGACTTTCTCCCTAGGGCTGGGATCTAAAGGCATGTGCCACACCTGGCTTCCCTGCCTTTTTTAAAGCCTTCTTAACTACTGTTTCTCACAAACTAGAGTTCCAACCTGCATTTCTATAACCTGCATTACAAGTCTGTGAGATTTTTGAGTAGTTAACTGGTCATTTTTCCTGAATTATTCCTTCCCTACATCCCTTTCTCCCTTTCTCCTTCCTCTCATTCCCCCTTTGTTGAAAACTGTTACAAGCTCACAAATATGAGGGATATACACAGGCTCTTTTTTTTTTGAGACAGGGTTTCTACTGTAGCTTTGGAGCCTGTCCTGGAACTCATTCTGTAGCCCAGGCTGGTCTTGAACTCACAGAGATCCACCTGCCCCTGCCTCCCAAGTGCTGGGACTAAAGGCGTGCGCCACCACCGCCCGGCCACAGGCTCATTTCTATAAAAAATTAAAGGCCTGGCAATCTTTCTTCCCTTCATAAGCTAAGTGCATGGTCTAATCCCTTTCTAGAAACGGGTTTCTTAACGTATTCCCAATGGAAAAGAAGTTCAGCTGCTACAATATAAACATACCATCAGAGCAGATCCAAAGATATGCCAATCAAACATGAGCAAGTATAATTCTCAGAGATCTAAATTATACTCATTGAATTGAATCATTTCAGCAATTCCCAAGATTTCACTATTTCCATTCAGTTTAGAGTTGTCATAAAATTCAGGTTCCTGTTGGGTATATGCAGCAAACATTTATCTGCATTTTTTTTTCAAATTCCACTAACACTCATGTTTATTATTTCAATTATTGTGCTTTCAATACAATGACAGAGCTGGACATCAGGATCCATGCTTCCAGTGTCCCTGGATCCATTTTTGTAAGACAGATCTTTACAGATTTGAGACCATCCACTTGGTTTCTCCTTTATTTGTTGAAGACCTACAAAATAAGGGAGGAGAAGGGATAGTTAAGGCAAGATATTCTGAAATGAATATGGTCTTGTTTGAAACATTTAAAAAAGGAAACAAAAAATGAAAAAGAGGTACCACTTACGTGTGATGATTGGATCAATGTCTCTGGTCTGAGTGGCAACATCAGAGGCACACACTTGGCCTATTTGAATCAGCAAAGACATAATGTCCTCATACAGTGGAGGAAACGCTCGACAAAAGGAGACCAAACTTGGAAGAGTTGGCATGAAGAAAGCATACCGCTTAGCCTGTGTCAGGACTGTCGGGAAGAGATGGAACAAATAAGACAACATTCAGAACAAATTCATACTGTGTGTGCTGGGAAAACTATGCTTTAGAGGATGGGGCTCACTCGATGTTAACAGCCTGCACTCTACTAACCAGTCACCATCAAGATCCACATTTACAACATCCCAGCACTGCGCTAAGGACAGTACTTTCAATACTTCACTTAGTTCTCCCAACTGTATCACAACAGCTGTGCAGCTGAGATGAACTTTAAGCAAACTCTAGAGAAGGTATAAAAGCTGTTTAAAGCCCAGCATAGTGGCACTCTTTTCAAAGATCCCAGGCCTTGAGAGACAGAGGCAGGCAGGTGTCTGAGTTTGAGGACAGCCTGGTCTACATAGTGAGACCCTGTCTCAAAAAAAAAAAAAAAAAAAAAAGTTATTCCAAGGCTAAGAGGGAGGTAACTTAGTGTAAAGTTCTTGCCTAGCACATGCAAAGGCTCTGTGCTCAATCTCCAGTCCTGGGGGAAAAAATAATGCTGTTCCAAGTCATGCAACAGTTAGTGGTAAATCTGGAACTAAATGCAGTATGGACTCTTAACCACTATAAATTATTATAACAGAAGGTGAAAATAATAGAAAGAAAATGACAAACTACTGTGAAACACTGTGAACACTGAGAAAGAGTATAACCTTGTAAAGGACTGACTGTATTCATATTTTTTAAGTAATTTGTTTTTATACCATTTTATTCTACAAACCAGAAGGTGGTTAAAATATAGGAGAAGGCCGGGCGGTGGTGGCGCACACCTTTAATCCCAGCACTCGGGAGGCAGAGCCAGGCGGATCTCTGTGAGTTCGAGGCCAGCCTGGACTACCAAGTGAGTTCCAGGAAAGGCGCAAAGCTACACAGAGAAACCCTGTCTCGAAAAACCAAAAAAAAAATATAGGAGAAGGCCAGGCAGTGGTGGCGCACGCCTTTAATCCCAGCACTTGGGAGGCAGAGGCAGGCGGATGTCTATGAGTTCGAGTTCAGCCTCGTCTACAAAGCAAATTCCAGGACAGCCAGAGCTGTTACACAGAGAAACCCTGTCTTGAAAAACCAAAAAATAAATAAAATATATGCATATATATATATATATATATATAATATAATATAATATAATATATGTTGTAGAATTTAAGGAAATAGCTAATGAATTTATGACTGTTTTGTTTTGAGATAGAGTCTCTCTATGTAGCCCTAGCTGTCCTGGAACTTGCTCTATAGACCTCTGCTTCCTGAGTGCTGAGATTAAAGGAGTAAGCCACTATCGCCTGGCTATATATGACATTTTCAAATATTTTTCTTCTGGAATTGAGCACACTTAGTAATTTCTAATTATTGTTCTAATTCTACAGATTTTATTTTCATTTATTAAAAATGTATTATAACATATATAGAGAGAGACACACAAAAAAACCCACAAAAGTGCCTACCTATACTTCCACACTAAAAATCATATTTGTAAGTATGACATCTTTTAAAAGAACAGTAATTCAAAGGATGGCACAAGTAAAAGTAACAGCAACATATACTGTGTTATACTGACTCATAAAAACACCAAAGAAAATGGAGCAAAGGAGCACATGCCTTTAATTCCAACACTTGGGAGGCAGAGGCAGGCAGATCTCTGTGAATTTGAGGCCAGCCTGATCTACAGAGTGAGTTCCAGGACAGACAGAGCTGTCTGGAACATACATAGTGAGACCCCCGACTCAAAAAAATAAACACACACACACACACACACACACACACACAAACACAAGCTGCCAAGTCTTAAAGTTCAGAAAATACATGTAGTAGTAAGCATTATTAGATGCTTCTGTTGATGTTGATTGGCTACACACCTGTTAGCAAAGTTCCCATGACATTGACAGCTAAGCGAGCCACACTAAGTGACTTTGGTAATGCATACTGGATACACAAATGAGAAAGCAGCTGAATAGCAAATATCTGGAATACAAAATCCAAATGTTACATATTTCTTTAGAAAAGCTTAAATGCTAAAAATTATAAAATGTCTTCTCTAATAGCCAACTGAAAAGTAATCAAGTTTTTCTTCAAGTTCTAAAATGGTCACTACCTGTTTTTCAAGTTCAGGCTGGGCAATAAGCTCCGGTATGAAATCCAGACAGATGTGCATAGATGGGATCCCAGCAACCGTCAGAGGCAGAAGTTCACATGGATAGCCCTGTCTCGGGGAGAAGGGAGAAGTCAAATACAAAAACACAAGTGAAGCTTCACTTCCTCTGTGTAGCATCTGCAAGTGTCTGTGACTGTCTCTGGAATTGCACTTTCCTGATACATTAGAACAGAGAACAGAGATAAAGTATTTGAATATCTTATCAGTATTGTATTCGGAATTTGTAGTTTTCTATATATTGCAAAGGACCACGATCCTTTCTCGTGTTCAAATGATCTATTAATTTAATAGATAAAGCCCTCAAGAAAAACATGAAATTCAAACATTCCGTGTTACTCTTCCAGCACGCACCTGAAAGTGGACGAGTTTAGCAATGTTGGGGTCTGCAATGTACATTTGGTGCAACAGGCAGCAGATAAGGCACTGGACTTCCCGGAGGTCACAGAGCAGACTCTCTTCTCCTTCCCCCACTCCCTTGTTTGGAGTGCTGGTGGTAACGACACTGTGAGCGTTCCTGAGGGAGATGTCTGGACTGGCACCTTTTGCCTTTTCCTCTTCAGTAGGCAAACAAATCTCTAAGAGAATCTGGACTGCTGCACTATCCTACAAGATAAAAAGTGATGTAAGAAGTCTGAGAAGTTGCGGGGAGGGAATGGGAGGAGAGAAGGGAGGGGAAATTGCAGTTGGGATGTAAAATTAAAAAAATATAATAGTAAAGAAAGCCATTGCCCTAGAACAAACCAATGTATAAACCACAATAAAAGAGACTAGAAGTCTAGAGAGATGGCTCAGCGGTTAAGAGCACCAACTACACTTCCAGAGGACCTGGGTTCAATTCCCAGCACCTACATGACAGCTCACTACTGTCTATAACTCCAAAATCTGACACCCTCACATAGACATACGTGCAGGCAATACACCAATATACATAAAATAAGAATAAGTAAGTTATTTTTTAAAAAATAAAAGAGATTAAAAGTCTACAATGGGGGGATGGGAGGGAGAAGTCTGAGAAGTTGACCTGAAAAAGAAATCTCTTTTTTCATATGAACAGAAATGACACAATAGTTCTTCTGAAAGACACAGACACCACATAAGTGGTCATTCTTAGAGTAGAACTGAGCAATTTACAATGTACACAGTCTCACAGTTTTAGGGTTACAAACTCCTGACAAGTCTGAAAAAATATACTTTTTTCATAAAAATAAACATTTGCAGGAGCCTAGAGATGTCTTGGTTAAGAACACTGGTTGCTATTACAAAAGACCCGGGTTCAATTCCTAGCATTCACATGGCAGCTCACTACTGTCTGTAAGTAACTCCAGTCCCAGCAAAAGTAACCCTCTTCTGACATGGGGCACAGACATAAATGCAGGCAAACACCCACACACATAAAATAAAATAGGCACGTGAACAAGCACCTGGCACACTTCTGAAGGCTCATGAAGCATAAGGCAGGAGCAAAGACCTGAGCTCATAACCTCTGTGGGGCAAGTAATCTGAACCAATGGCCTCCAGAGCAGACCCAAACCTAATCCCCTTCCTTCCTCACTCTCTACTTTCCTCAGGTTCCTACCGGGTGTCTCCTCCATTTCCTCCAAGTCACTTCACAAAGCAGTACTTGAGAAGTGACCTGTGTGAGGGTCCTGACATTTTAAAATACCATGCATTCAACTTACTTTTCTGTTTATAGTCTGTCTCCAACATCTGGTTTCCTTTTTTACCATCTTATCTTTAAAAACAAATACCCAAAGAAGTGTATCTCCTTTACTACCATGTCCCTGGTCCTAGAACAGTATTTGACACACAGGTGTCCAATAAATATGTATTGATCAAGTGAAGATATAACTTAAGACTGGCTAAAGGCTTAAATTTGTTAAGCATAAATTTTATTAAAATATGTATTAAGTTTTCATAATGAAAGTCCACCTGATACTCAGAAGCAAAGATGACATTGTTTTAGATTCTAAAATAAAAGGAACACACAATGTCAACAGTGTATATATAGGGCACAATGTGTGATATACTTATTTCTAAACAAACATTGCCGGGCAGCGGCACACCTTTAATCCCAGCACTCAGGGAGGCAGAAGCAGGTGGATCTCAGTGAGTTCCAGGACAGCCAGAGATGTTATAGAGAGAAACCCTGTTTCAAAACTCACCCAAAAAACAAAACAAACAAACATACCATTTGACTAAATTTAACTTTAGCAAATTTTACCTGAGCAGCCAATAATGCATTTTTCAGCTCTTCTCTTGTAACTTCTGGGGCATCAGTCTGTCCAAGCAAACCTACTGTATTGTTCTGGGAAGGCCTATCTTGCTCTGCTGTCTCCTTCAGATGGGCACTAAGGTAAGCTTTAGATGCAAGGAGATATCCATTCAGCATGTGTAGAGTAATATCCATCAGTGGGGGGCACCTAGACAAAGAAGAAAATATATCAGGAAGACTGTCAATTTAAAACTTAGTTAGAACTTAACCAATTCAATTTAAAACATTTGAAAAATCCAGTTTAACAACTTTTCCCAATGACATACTCATTCTTAAAGGTCTAAGCTGGGTGTGCTGGTACTTGTCTATAATCGCAGCACTGGGGAAGCTGAGCCAGGAGGATGATGAATACAAGCCAGCCAGGGCCACAGAGCAGGACACACACCCTCTAAAACAATAAATAAATTGTATATCTTATTTTCTGTATTTCAAGATTCATAAACACCATTCTTCAGCTTATCAGTCAAAATAAAATGCAATTAAGTAGTAGAGAAAGATATTAGCATTTTGTAGAAAATGATAAAGCAGTAACTCTCTTAGATTCAAGCCTTCAAAAAGATATATTCTATTATTGACTAAGTTAGTCAATTGACTAAAACAAATTATTTATTCTTTCTACTCCTAAGCAAGACACTTCTGTATTCTTTTTTTTTTTTTTTCTGGTTTTTTGAGACAGGGTTTCTCTGTGCAGCTTTGTGCCTTTCCTGGAGCTCACTTTATAGACCAGGCTGGCCTTGAACTCACAAAGATCCGCCTGGCTCTGCCCCCCAAATGCTGGGACTAAAGGCGTGCACCACCACCGCCCGGCAACACTTCTGTATTCTAAAAGTGAATGAGCATCCATTTAATCTGGACAAATTATTTACTGAGCTTCAGTTTTCTCATCTATAAAATGGGTATACATCAGGGCTGGTGGAGCAGACCTGAGGCAAGAAAATCACAAATTCAAGACGATCTTGAGCAACTTGGCAAAAGTCTACCTGAAACTAAAGACTATGAAGGGGACTGGGAACACAGCAGCGCAGCAAAGCACTTGCCTAGCATGCACAAGGCCCTGGGTTTAATACCCAGCACTAACACAAACACACACAGTGGAAACACTAGCAATGGCCCTCCACCTATGAATGTGTAAATAAACTGTTGCAGTTTTTCCAAAAATAAAAGACAAAAATGACTTGAAATATTTTTTAAAATCTTAAATGTCAAATTAGACATTTGAATCAGAGCTTCTGGGAAGTAATCCTGCTAATCCATGTGTGAAACTACCCACTAGTCAAGAGAGAGAAGGTAGGACTACAAACACCAGCACGGGAACACTGAGAACACACAAAGAGTTTTGAGGAATGGGATCATCCCTGGAGTACCACTGAATGCTTTTCCTCTGGTTGTTGGCTGACTGACTTTGAACTCAAGATCCTCCTGTCTTGGCCTCCAATACACATTTTCATTTTTTATCCTGTGTGTGTGTGTGTGTGTGTGTGTGTGTGTGTGTGTGTGTGTGTGTGTGTGTACGTGGTGCTTGAGACTGAACACACTGAGCAAGTTCTCTGGTACTGAGTTACATCCCCAGCCACTTGCATCTCTTTAAGAACCATGCACAACAAGAACTATAAACTTATAGAGCACAATGAAGAATGAGGCGATATGAACATAACAACAGTTTCCTCTGGAGATGGAACTGGAAGTGGTCAAAGGAAGCCAACGAGGAATCTGGCTTTGCCAGCGTCAGAATGACAGCTGAAGAGTGAGACTTTCACTGTATACCTTTTCTTCTTGTCAATCTTCTTGTATGTTACAGAGTATTTGCATATTAGTACATATGAACAGTTTCAGAAATGAACAAAGAAGAATGGACATTGGGAAAGCGAAAGACCCATCACTCAGCCCCCAAAGTTACTTACACAAGGCTAGCTTCTTTGAGGTCTAAGTCCACCCACTTTCCTACCACCACCACTAGGCAAATCCTCATTTTCATTTATGGATGCTGTGTCTTTTTTTTTTTTTTTAAGATTTATTTATTTATTATGTATGCAGCATGTGTCCCTGCAGGCCAGAAGAAGGCACCAGATCTCGTTACAGATGGTTGTGAGCCACCATGTGGTTGCTGGGAATTGAACTCAGGACCTCTGGAAAAGCAGTCAGTGCTCTTAACCTCTGATCCATCTCTCCAGCCCCCATTTTTTTTTTTTCTTCCAGAGGTGAGGACCGAACCCAGAGCCTTGTGCTTGCTAGGCAAGCACTCTACCACTGAGCTAAATCCCCAACCCCTGCTGTATGTCTTTTAAAACCATGAGAATGATCGCTTGGTAAAAGTAAAATTAAACTGTATGAAGAGTCTAAAAAAAGGCAAAACAAAGTAATAGGGCTAGGGATGCAGTTCAAAGGGAGGGCACATTCAGCATGCTCAGGGCCCCAGGTTCAATCTCCAACATCCAAATAATTTAAACTGTAATATATAGTCAGAACTGATATCATTTTCCCTTTTTTAGAGTGTGTGTATGTGTGTGTTGAAGGCAAAATCTTAATAATGAAATGCATTACTTTGTATGCTAAGTTTTAAATCATTTCAAAGAACTAGGGGGTGAAAAAAGAGTCATACCCAAGGCAGGCCTGAAACTTACTATGTAGCCCAGGCTGGCCTCAAATTCACGATTCTTAATAGGCATGTGTAACCACACCTGGGAATTATTTAAAAAAAAGAAAAGCTTTTCTGAAAGATAAACAAGAAATAACAACAGCCAACAAACATATTAAAGTGTTCAATCTAGCAAAAATATAAAATAAGAAAGGAATCCATTTTTCATTTTCCTATAAAATATAAAATAGAAATGTACAAGAAGGTATACAATGTAAAACACTGTAATGGAATGCAAATTAGCTGAGCCTTCTGGATGGCAGGAAAACATGAATCAAATTCTTAAAAATGAGTATGTTGCCTGGTGGGGGTGGCGCACCCCTTTAATCCCAACACTCAGGAGGCAGAGGCAGGCAAATCTCTGTGAGTTCAAGGCCAGACTGGTTTACAGAGTGAGTTCCAAGAGAGCCGCGCTATACAGAGAAACCCTGTCTCGAAAAACCAAAAAAAAAGAAAAAGAAAAAAGAAAGAAAAGAAAAAAAAAGGGGAAGTTGTTTTTGTGAAAATCCTATTTTTAGCAATGTGATTTAAGAACAGCACTGAAAGAAGCAGACACTATAGTATACACATGCAGTACACAGTATACAGTACACACACATGCAGTACACAGTATACAGTACACACACACAGTACACAGTATACAGTACACACACATGCAGTACACAGTATACAGTACACACACGCAGTATACAGTACACACACATGCAGTACACAGTATACAGTACACACACACGCAGTACACAGTATACAGTACACATACGCAGTACACAGTATATAGTACACACGCGTAGTACACAGTATACAGTACACACGCGCAGTACACAGTATACAGTACACACATGCAGTACACAGTATACAGTACACACACACGCAGTACACAGTATATAGTACACACGCGTAGTACACAGTATACAGTACACACATGCAGTACACAGTATACAGTACACACACACACACACACACACACACACACACACACACACACACACGCACAGTCCGCAGTAGGTAGAGCACCACTGACAACACAAGACTGCAGGAACACTCAGCCACAGTGTGTAACTATGTAATGACTGACAAATGTGTCAGTGTTTTACAATGATTTTTCAAGCTATATCCCGGCACTAAGATGACTGAGGCAGGAAAATCAGGAGTTAAACCAGAGGAGTTGAAGGTCACCCTCAGCTACACAGTGATACCTTGTTTCAAAATAAAACACAATAAAGCAAAATTTTGTTAATGGGCTAGTGGAAACAGTGGTGTTCTTCACTGAGCTTCATCTGAAGAGGCACAAGAGCCCTACTGAGGACTACCAACGCCAATAATGCCTTTTCTCTAAGGCTAGGTTTTATTGCCCACATACTAAATATAACACTGAAATGACTGTAATTTATGAATATATGCTGCTAGAAAACCAAATAGCTACATAAATTATATTACATATATGTACTTGTAACAGCAATAGGACATTAAGATGATTTCAATTTCTTTTGATTCTCCAAAGTACAACTCTATTGAAAAAATGAAATTCAAATAACTTACCTGTGAACCCTCCGGTCACACCTCAAGACAATGAGAGGATCTATCATCAAATCATTCTGGGTATATTTTTGTTGTCGTATAAACTTTATGGAAGGTTGGAGTGCATTAACGGTCATTACCCACAACCTGATGAGAAAACAATCACATGTTCATAATAGTTATGATTTAACTCACATCTACAGTCATTTAATTCTGTGTATAAAAAAAAAAAGTATTTTCAAGATAGACAAAAAAAAGGGCGGGGGAAGCAGGCAGGAAAAAACCTTTGGAGTTCTTTTGCTGTTTGTTTCTGAGAAAGGCTCTCAGGTAGTTCAGGCTGGCCCCTCAGTCACTAGATAGCTGAGGATGACCCAGACTTCTGATTCTCCTGCAGCCCCTCCCAAGTACTAAGATCATAGGACTAGACCACCATGACTCATTTATGCACTGCTGGGAGTGGAACCCAGGGTTTCGTGTGTGCTAGGTAAGCACGCTACCAACCAGCTACATACCCAGCCCTGGGAATAAATAAATCTGAAAATTAAAAACTAGACATCTAGGATATATTATTATGTCTCTAAAACAAATACAAGTTAGACAATGAACACAGTAGTTGAAAAAGTCTTTGCAGCTGAGGTGGAACAATCATAGTATCTGGGAAGAAAACGAAGTAAAAACTCAGTTCTAACACACTTAGCATATTAAGAATAGTTTAGTTTAAAACAAATGAAAATTTTGAAACTGTATTGGCCCCATAAATCTATCATTATTGCATATATAGCATTACAAAGTCTCACTGTAAAATGTCACTTTGAAATCTGACAGATTACAGATATGGTGGCTGATCTGACAGCACTAGAGAATTGCTGAGGAAAATATATACAACAGAAGGTACCTGAAGTGAAGCCCAGAAATCTACCAACTTTATCTGACACAAAACTTGCCACTTAAATATGAATGGGTATCCAAGGATCAGACATTCACAAGGTTTTATTTAGAAAAAGATTAAAATACACTAAAGAAAAAAAAAAACTCCAAAGCAATGGAAAGTGGCAAGATATTAAGGGGAAAAAGGCCTGGTGGTAGTGGTAGTGCACGCCTTTATTCCCAGCACTCAGTAGGTATAGGCAGGTGAGTCTCTGAGTTCAAGGTCAGCCTGGTCTAAGACTGAGTTCTAGGACAGCCAGAGTTACACAGAGAAAAACATGTCTTGAAAAACAAAAAATAAACAAAAAATGCAGTAAGGTCTCCCTGTGTTTGCCAGGATATCCTGGAATTCACGGTCTTCATAGCTTGCCTTCTGAGTGTTCCTGTTATAGACATGTCCCACCACATCCAGTTCTTATACAGTATTACTATAGCTGGAAGGATGGCTCACAAGTTAAGAGCATTTGTTGCTCTTCCAGAGGACAGAAATTCAGTTCCCAGAACCCAAGTCAGGTGGCTCACAATCACCTGTGACTCCAGCTCCCAGGCATCCGATTATCTCTGGCCTCTTCAGGCACTTGTACTCACATGCACATACCAACACAAAGACACACGGAATTCAATTTATTCAGGAAAGAAAAAGTCCTAAAAATTAAGACACTGCTCACCAGAATCAAAAAGCCAACCAAGTACCCAATACTATGAAGGGAAAAAAGATACACATCAAAACACATCATTATTAAGTTCCAGAACACAAAAGGAAGGAAAGCTTGTAATGAATGAAAACCAAGGTCATGTACAAAGGGCTAGTGAAACACCACATTACTAAGAGCCAGTGGAAACTCCAAGTTAGAAGAACAGTGCACTCAAATGTATGAACTACACTTGGGTAAAATGGCAGCCACATGTGAAAAGAATAAAACCTCCAATGTGCAAAAAATACCTCCCATTCAACCTTTCCCAGGAAGCACTGCAGTATGTGTTCTATGTGGACAGAAACCAAGAAAGAAAACAGGGATGCTAGTGAAGCAGAGAGACGGCAGCAATTCTAGACAACTGTGCATGTTCCAGGGAAAATTCAGATGGAAAGCAAGATGTCCCCATGAAAATCATTTTACTGACTGATTATATGTTGAAATTACTATAAAGTAAGCCTCATCTTAATAAAGAGTATGGGATGAACTATTTATCAGTTACTGATAGCATAACAAATGGAAAAAAGGCAAGTATTATGGCAATGCCTAGTATGGGGAATGGCATTCATGGATAAAAAAGCATTGTGGAAGTGTAGTTCAGGAGCAGCATACTTGACCAACATGCTCATAGCCTGAGTGTAATTTCCAGCAACAATTAAAAAAAAAAAAGAAAGAAAGAAAAGGAAGGAAGGAAGAAGAAAAAGGTAATCAAAGAATACTGCAGTATACTGCACAGTTCAACTATAAATACATAATCATAAGATGAACACTAAATATTGCTTTAACTGAAAGAAATAATATAACTGTATTGGAAAATAAAGAGCCAGGCATGGTGGCTCATGCCTTTAATTCCAGCAAAGGGGAGGTGGAGGCAAGGGATCTCCGTGGCATCCAACGTGGTGGCAAGAGTTTCCACCTAAAAACTGAGAAAAAAGATTCTAAAACGGAAACAGCTTCCTAATTGTCTCTCTCAAATGAGCGGCAGCTGCCGGTTTGAGCTACTTGTGGGTTCCTGGTGTGTGCGCTCGACCTGCAGTATGGCGGGAATGAGGCCTCTGCAAGGGGCACATTAAGCTGCATGGTGGATTTAGACTTTGCTAGTACAAAAAAAAAAAAAAAAAAAAAAAAAGGTTTCTGGGCTACACGCTGCTGCTGCAGTTTAAATCGATAGATTCACAATGAGACAGATTCAGATGTAATAGTTTACAATGTGTATAAAATATATGTAGGCTTGAAAGAGACAAAAAAGGTGATATAAACAGTTATAGAAACAAATACATAGTTTAAAAAAATAAAGTCTTTAAAGAGACAGTAAAATTAATATAAAAAATAAGCCACGTAAAGATGAATATTACACAGAGAATCTGGATTGTGTTGTCTTTGGAATTTTAACTGCAGAAAAACATTTGATTGTAAAAGCTGTTGAGTTATGCCAAAATGTATATTTTAAAGGTACCTTGACTTCAAAATTTGGATATAAGGATATGTTGCTTTGGAAAGGAAACTCTGCTTTTGTTCCTACAGAAAGCCAAAGGCTACGAATTTGTTCCAGATTAAGATACATCAGGTTTGACCAGCCAAGACCCCCTGAAAGGTCTCTGATGACACCATGGCCCAGATGATCTAACATCCAGAATGGTTTGAAGGCAACTGGCTCAGACAATACAGCCTCATGGACTATTCCATAATCCTAAAATTTTCTTTGTGTCCCCATTAGATACAGCGCCCCCCTCCAGCAGGAAGTAGTAAGAGAAGCTACATCCAAATTCCCAAATTATATGTAATTTTACTTTGTTAAGGTTAAAACCTTCCTTTTTGAAAAAAAAAGGGGGAAGTGCTGTGGGATGTTCTGTATGGCAAATGTGTTGCTGATTAGTCAATAAAACACTGATTGGCCATTGGCTAGGCAGGAAGTGTAGGCGGGACAAGGAGGAGAATAAAGCTGGGAAGTGGAAGGCTGAGTAAAAGAGACACTGCCAGCCGCCAGGATGACAAACAGCATGTGAAGATGCTGGTAAGCCACGAGCCATGTGGCAAGGTATAGATTTATGGAAATGGATTAATTTAAGCTGTAAGAACAGTTAGCAAGAAGCCTGCCACGGCCATACAGTTTGTAACCAATATAAGTCTCTGTGTTTATTTGGTCGGGTCTGAGTGGCTGTGGGACTGGCAGGTGAGAGAGATTTATCCTGACTGTGGGGCCAGGCAGGAAAACTCCAGCTACATCTCCGAGTTTGATGCCAGCCTGGTCTACAAAGGGAGTTCCAGGACAGCCAAAGCTACACAGAGAAACCCTGTTTCAAAAAACAAAGAGAGGGGAGGAGAGGGGCAGGGGAGAAGAGAGGGGAGGGGCAGGGGAGAGGAGGGGAGGGGAAGAAGAGGGGAGGGGAGAGAAGAGACAAAAAGAAAAGCAAGAGTCACAGAAAGGAAGAGCAAGTCAGACTGCTAAACTTCACAAACAACATCTAAGGTGGAGAATCAAAAAGCCAAACTTGTTATAAGCCTATTACTGAGCTCAAATGAAAAGACGTAAATGCTAGAGTTTTTGTTTTTCAAGACAGGGTTTCTCTGTGTAGCACTGGCTATCCTGGAACTCACTCTGTAGACCAGGCTAGCCTTGAACTCACTGAGATCTGCCTGCCTCTGCCTCCCAAGTGCTAGAAATAAAGGTGTGTGCCATCACCACCTGGCTAGAATTTTCTTTTTTAAGCTGAAAATGGTTTCCATCTGTGTAATCAGGGTCTAAAATAGAAAAGTGTGAAATACACTTTATGTTATGGGTATTTATTAATTTGATGTTAATAAAATTTGAATTTAGAAAGAACAACTATTCCCAGTTCCCAGAATTACTAAACCAAGCTATCAGGTAAGTCAGACCACTGTTATTATTCTCCCAACTGGCCAAGTGTTACTGATGCAATCTATGAGCCAGCACCCACCAACGGATAAACACAAGGGAAGCACACCCCTGTTCTCCAAACTCTGCTGCACAGTGCATCACCTGGGGCTCTGTTTTTAAGATATACTGATGCCTTGCTCCTGCTGCAGACATTCAGATCTAACTGCATGGATTACAGCCTGGGGATCAAGGACTTTAAAGCCAAACCCCATAACTCAAGGTGCAGCAGAATTTGGAACCACAGCAATGATGTGAGACACAATGATCTGAATCAGTTAGCCACAAATAACTACACAGAGGAAACCACTTTAAAGGACTTTCTCAAATTGTTAATATTGAGCCAGGCACTGGTGGTGCACACCTTTGATCCCAGCACTCAGGAGGCAGAGGCAGGTGGATCTCTATGAGTTTGAGGCCAGCCTGGTCTACAGAGTGAGTTCCAGGACAGCCAGGACACAGAGAAACCCTGTCTCAAAAAACAAACAAACAAAAAAGTCCACAAAATTGTTAATAGCTTTTATTTCTTAAGGTATTCTTTAAAATGTAACAAATCTAGTTTTTGTTTTTTCTTTTTTTTTTGAGAAAATGTCTTACTATGTAGACAAGGCTGTCCTCAAACTTCAGAGAGATCTGCCTGTTCTCCATCCCAAATGCATGCTGAGATTAAAAATTAGTGTCTCCACACCTGGCTAATGTACATATCTTTTAAATAGTCATCTTCAGAAAGGAATTTTATTATTACATCAAAAGCAATGATGTGAGTGGTCTTGTGAATGTTTTTCTAACTAAATTTCCTGTATAGTATCAAAGCTATACATTTCTCTAGTGCACATAGCAGTTCACAGAACTTACCTTCTTGGCATCACAGTATTAAGAACCATCCATAACTTATTGACAGTTTGAAGTATTCTCCGTGGAACCCCTGAATTCAGCAGCTGGTTCATATTGGATGTTAATACTTCTGCATATGGTATAAGTTCACTGGCAGAAAGCAGTGTCAAGTGCTCCATAATCTGCATCACTTGCGTGTGATTTACTGGGGCAGCTGAAAATGCTAAAAAGAGAATTTTGCAATCATTACCTACATTCTGTAATGTTTACCAAGCAGAAATAAATGCTGCTTTCTTAGAGTGGGGGCCAAACAAATCAAGAAAGCAATGGTGTTAAAAATAATACTTTCAATCATAGCTACAGTTTTCACTACAGCTAATACAGGCATTAGAAAACTTCTTGGATGGCAGGTGAGATGGCTCAGAGGCTTAGGGCAAGTGAAGCTTGATAACCTGAGTTCCATCCCGGTACCCACTGAAGGATAGAACCAGTTCCCACAAGTTGTCTTCTGACTTCCAAATGTGCAGTGTGGCATGTGCAGGGCCCCACACAAACATATACCAAATAAGTAAGTTAAAATGTAATAAAAACCAAATTAAAATCCATAAAAGTGAAGATATTATTTCATAAAGTTCAGGCCCCGCCCCACCCCACCCCCCATGGGAGAGGTGGCCCTACCCTTCACCACAGGCATGGGAAAGCTGGCCTCGATGGCATGGGCCTAGAGGAGCTGGTTCTGCCTCTTGCCTGAAGAGGGCAATCCCAGTGGCCCAGACTGACCAGCTCAGCTACCACCCAGACCCACATCCTGGGCCTTGGGTTGGCCCACCTTAACATCTACCCCATCTGTGACCTGCTGGAGCATGTGAAGGGACTGGTCCTGCAGAACAATAGTTGCAGGATCTCCATGACTTGGGGCAACAGCAGATATCCAAGAGGAATTTCAGTGAGGGTCCAGTGATGATGGTGTGCCAGAGACCTTGAACCAAACCCATCAATGGCTCATTACAATAAATACTTTGTGGGTAGGGATCACTGGACAAAAGGGTATACTGCCTGAAGCATGAAGGAGCTCCCAATGCCATCAGGATGAATGAGAGGTATTGGAAAGACAAAAGAGTTAGGTAGTTTTTTTGTATTGTTTTGTTGTTAATTTTTTTTTGGGGGGGGGCATGCTGCAGGGGTGAGGGATGGGACTGGAAGGTGAGTATGACTGGGGTACATGATGTGAAATCCTAAAAAATTAATAAAGAATTATGTAAAAATAAAAATAAAATTCAATTCCTCATGAAAAAATAAATTAGAACATCTATCTGTTACAGAATTATATTTTAAGGTGTGTTGCTTTTGTTTATGTTGCATATGTTTAACACTGTGAAGCTGTGGTACTCTGACTGTCTATAACACCTGATGGTTTAATAAAGAACTGAACAGCCAACAGCAAGGCAGGAGAAAAGATAGGCGAGGCTGGCAGGCAGAGAGAATATATAGAAGGAGAAATCTGGGAGAAGGTTAGCTAGAAGCAAGAGAAGGAGGAGTAGGACTCCAGGGTCCAGCCACCCAGCTACATAGCAAGCCAAGGAGTAAGAGTAAGATTACAGAAGTAAGAGAACCGGAAAAGCCCAGAGGCAAAAGGTAGATGGGATAATTTAAGGAAAGCTGGCTAGCAACAAGCTAAGCTAAGACCCAACATTTATAATTAAGAATAAGCCTCCATGTATGATTTATTTGGGAGCTGGGTGGTGGGCTCCCCAAAAGAGTAAAAACAACTAACAACATCTATCTACTTGCCATCCAAATTCTTTTTTGTCTTTAATAAACAATGAATTATGTGTAAAACAAAATCCTATTAGTGACACAAAGCCTAACCTCATTTTCTTGGGTAATTCAGGCTGTTCTTTAAACATAACACTAAAGTAGGAAAGTGGGCCTGAGGATTGCTTCTGTGGCTTCTTATTGGAAGTTTCAAGATCACTGATACTTTGCTCCAGGAGTTAGTCCATTATAGGAGACAAGCATCCAGCATATTGCTGTTATGAAATATCTAGAATTCTCTCTTCACTAGAGTAGTCACTAACTACATCTGGCTAGCAAGCATAAAATAAATACCAAATGGGAATACTGAATATATATGAAAAAAGAGCAATCCCATTAATATTCTTCATTTTGATTACATAATGAAGTAGTACTTTGGAACTATGAAATTAAATAAAAATATTTTTTAAATTTATTTTTGTTGCCATCATGAACACAGTAACTATCTATACCTAGATGTCCACGATCAACCAACTGCTTCAAAGTAAAAACATAGTCATGCATGTCCTTCACCATGGAAAACCAACAGTACCTAAGAGAAATATAGAAAAAAACTATCCAAAGCTGGTGAGAACACACATGTCATCTTTGTAGCTGGGTTCAAAATCCACACATTAAGGACAATTGGCTTTGGATAATTAACAATTCCTTCAACTGTGTACAGAAACTGAAAAGACAGTGACCTCCAGAGCTGGGGAGTGAGCTGACAATGGAGCACTGGCCCAGCATGCACAAAGGCCCAGTTAGTTCAATCTGAAACTCCCAGGGGAAAAGAGAAAGATTTAGAAATAACAGCAGAAAGAATTCAAGAACAGCAATAACAAAAATTCAAAGTGGATTTGGGTGGGGTGCCAAGGCCAATGTTGTCACCTCAAAAAGGAGTAAAGATTGTGCAATAACAGTCTTTACAGTGATTGTGCAATTGTTTTCAGAAGGCTATGAACTGAAATTTTTTAATACAGCTAATGCAATGTTAATGTGTGGCTCACACTATTTGTATTCAGGGATACTAATCTGGAACATTACCCATTAAAAGCAAGTACACTGCCATGTTCTACTGTATTTATTTCTAACCAGTTTGGGATTTTTCTAAATCTTTTTAGTAATATAACACAGAATATGGAAATGATATAAACATGTCAACTAGATACCCAGCACAGCAAAGAATTGGTTCAAAATCCTTATCCCAAACACAATTGCTCACAATATAGGATTTCAATTAGCCTAGCACTGTTGCAGAATACTTGTTTAACCATGCAAAGATGTGTTGCATTTATTTAATTATGTAAAGATGTATTGCTGTTTTACCTTGCTTTCCTAAGGCACCTGAATGGTCTAATAAAAAGCTGAGCCTGGCGGTGGTGGCGCACACCTTTAATCCCAGCACTCGGGAGGCAGAGCCAGGCGGATCTCTGTGAGTTCGAGGCCAGCCTGGGCTACCAAGTGAGTTCCAGGAAAGGCGCAAAGCTACACAGAGAAACCCTGTCTCGAAAAACCAAAAAAAAAAAAAAAAAAAGCTGAACAGCCAATAGCAAAGGAAGAGGTATAGGCAGGACTTCTGGGCAGAGAGAGTAAGTAGGAGGAAGAATTCAGGCTCAAGGGAGAAAGAAGAGGAGACGACAGGGAGATGCCATGGGCCAGACAGACAGACATGGAGGAAGCAGGAAATTAGAACATACAGGAGGAAAGAAAGGTGAAAAGCCCCGAGGCAAAACGTAGATGAATAGAACAGGTTAGTTAAGTTAAAAGAGCTAGTGGGACAAGCCTAAGCTAAGGCCAAGCATTCATAATTAATAACAGGTCTCTATGTCTTTATTTGGGGAGCTAGTTGACAGACCAGAACAAATCCCAGTTACAGAGCACCTCGTTAGTAGTAATAAGAGGTAAGATGAGCAGTCACCGAACCTTCCTGCAGCTGTTTCGGAGAGTGACTTTTGGCATTACTAGTCAGGAGCATTCGTCTTAACAGCGCATCAGTGCCTGTGACTTCTTCTTCACAGATCCAGTCATCCACAATACACAAATGGGGGTAATTAGTTGCTAGAAGACGGAGTAAAGCTGAATGCAGCCCTTAAAAACAAGAAAAACCCAGTAAGTTCCTGGACTCACAGTCTCTCGAACAGAATCTATTTTTAGCAGCCAGCAGCCACAAGGAACAGAGATGTCACTCACTAATAGTGTTTCACATAGAACTGTTGGAGGAATCTATCATCAGACAATTAAGAACCTGCTGCACATGCACGGTGAAGACACCATGCTAGGAACTAGGGTAGAAACTGCAGCCCAGGGCACTTCTGCAGGTGCCTACCACATTTTAGGAAGTTCTAGCTAGGCCTGGGGCTGGAATCCTAGCTGTTCAGAAGTTGAGGCAGTAAGACCCTTAGATTCAAGGTCTTGCCTCAGCTACAGGGCCAGCCTGGCAACTTAGTGAGACCTTACTTCAGAACAAAGACTGAAGTGTAGAAAAATGACAGAGGATTGCCTCAGATGTGTGAGGGCCTAAGTTCAATACTAGTAGCAGAAAGATTTCTTTTTCTAATTGAAGAAAAGCAAATCTGTGTAGCATTTTAAATAACAGTCCCCAAGAAGACTAACTGACAGTAAGTCAAGAATGACCCCAAATCTTACAACAAATCTCCCCCAGCTTTCTTTATCCCACTGTTGACTCTCGTCCTGAAAGCTGTTAACATAGCTTGTTTCAGGAGCTTGGAGGAGAAAAAGCAAAAACAAAAAGCTTCTCCAGTGCTAAGATTATCATGTGCCACCAAGCCTGACCCTCAGGGTTCTGCTTAGAAGTGATGTTTCTACATTCAAAAAGGCACTGTAACAACCCAAAGTGCTAATGAACTTTCAATCTCTAAACATATGTACAACTAAAACTACTCCCAACAGTCAGAGACAAACGCAAACCAATCTACATATTGTACTCTTTTCAGAAAAACATGTTAATTGGCCAGTGCTGCCAAAGACTGTACCATTTTTTAAGAAACAGACTATGCAAAGCTATAACAAATGTAGCCATCTGGCTAACCATGTCCAATGAAGGCTCATGTTCCTCTTCCAAACCAACCACAACAAAGAAAGAAAAGAAAAATCATAACTTCAAAGACAGAGGAAAACCACACTGAAACATGAAAGGTGGTTTATTAAGAAAACATCAAATTTCTAAAATTATTACACATCTATTTAATGATATTTATGACTGAACTATTACATCCATATTAATATTTCATGGAATATTATGGAGCATTTTCAAACTATAAAGTAGATCTACACAAATTGATATGATACATATCCAAGACGCCAAGAAAAATGACCTCAGAAGAGGCAGAGGGCTAGAGACTTAGCTCAGTACTAGCTTAATTCATGTAAGGCCCTCGGTGCAAATTTCAAGTAATGAAAAGAGAAATGTGAACAAAAGGAGGCAGTGCATAAAATCATTCATATTTTAAATATATTATGTGAATATCTATTAGATTCAACCACATGAAACTGATGTTCTCTAGGTCAAAGACAGCCTAAGCTTTGAGTAGTTGGACTGATGAATGCTCAGATTTACAGTGTTGTGGAAGTGCTCCACACGGGGCAAGCACTACTCTGAAGCCACTCCAAGGCTAGCAAGGAGACAAACTCTCCTGCTAAGGCCAGCAGCAGCAGTGGCAGCTCACAGTGAGCTTACAATCACAGGGAAGACGGGCGCTACTCGGAGGTGAGCTGTACTGCTGAGTCTCAGCATCCTGTAATTGGAGGGAGCAAATATTTCATTGTTTTTGAAACAGGATCTTAATATGTAGCTTGGGCTAGCCTAGAACTCACTCTGTAGACCAGGATGGCCTCGAACTCACAGAGTTCTGACTACCTCAGCTTCCCAAATGCTATGATGAAAAGTTGAGCCACCATACCTGGCCACAAATGCATTTTGGACTTGACATAATAGGAGTTTACAGCAGGGTTATGTCCAAATAACCTCATCATAAGATAAAGGGAATTAAAGTAGTAGGCATCCATATGTCATGTGTGTGAGTATGTGCTTGTGTGTGTGTGTGTGTGTGTGTGTGTGTGTGTGTGTGTGTGTATCTATCTGTACCCCAATGCCCAAATATCAGCAATTGTATTTGGGTCACCCTATAAGGAAAATGACTTAAAATGCATGTCACACTGAAAACAGCTGGATTCTCTAGAAGAGAGGTAATTTGTACAAGTAAGGTAATGGATTTAGTGAGAGAAGCAAAAAGCATTTTCATTCTTGAATTTTTTACATTTTTAACACTGAGCACTTACTACAACTTATAGCATAAGCAGTAACATTTCTTAACAATAAACTTTAGCAAAGAAAATGAATAAGACAAATACCTCCCAACTCCTGCTGCAGCCCCTGAGCCTGTCGAATAAGGAACTTGATAGGAATCTGGTCCATTAAAGAAGAAGAATATGATTTGGGTTTCCTTTGCATGGAAGCTGTCAGTAAAAGACGAAGAGTGTAAAATAAGAGTATCAGAAAAAAAAAATCTTAACTTTCAAAACAAACAGGAATAAAGACAATGTGAAATTACTTTTAATTCACTTAATAGATGAAAGGCAAGATCTAGAAAATGCCCTGACTTAAAACAAAGGAAAGAAAAACGAACCATGGTAGGTTTTAGTGCAGAAATGCACTAACACTGAAAGAACTCAGCCAAGACTTCCCCACATCTATTTAGAGCCCAAAGTAGTCATGAACAGACTTAGAGCTTGATGATTCCAGTGCAAATTACAAAATACCAGGTGGGTGAGAAAAAAAGGCAGGAGAGATGGCTCAGGAGTCAAGAGCACTGGCTGCTCTTCCAGAGGATCCGGGTTCAATTCCCAGCATCCACATGGCAGCTCATAACTGTCTGTAACTCCAGTTCCAGAGGATTCAACACACTCACACAGACATACATGGAGGAAAACACCAATGCACATAAAATAAAAATAAATCATTAAAAAAAAATAAATTAACAAATAAAACACTAGGCAATATAGGCACACATCTGTAATCCTAGCACATGGGAGGTGGAGGCAGAATCAGAAGTTCAAGGCCATCTTCAGCTAAATAGCAAAGTAAAAGCCAGTCTGGGCTACCTAAGACACTGACTCTAAAAAACAAAAAGACTTTGAATGCTTTATTTATGATACCTGGTGACTATTTAAAGGATGTTAAACAATGTGAATTTTACTTCCTTCTCGCCTATATCCTACCTTCAGTTAGCAGCATCTACTCTTTTACTTTTTTAACAAAATCCAACTTAATTTCTTTGTATGCTATTCCATTTTAAAGTCTACTTCATCAATGGTCACTATGGTCTGACATTCCTGCCTCCAACTTTTCATCTCCTTATACAACCGTCATCCTGCAGCCACAGTTCTCTTAATTAAATACAGTTCCTCAAATCACATACCTCTAGCTCCACACTCAAACTTTTTGTGGAGTCCTATAACCACATATATTCAAGGTCTCTGCCAGTCAATCACTGTCCCAGCTCTATCCCCTTCTTCTGTGTACCATGCATTCTAATTTGAATTTAAGTATTTTGCAGCAAACCATATGAATATATGAAAATTTCAGGTTACCTATACTGTACAAAAGGAAATCCAAATATCCAATATAATTAATTATTCATTTTCAAATGGTAAAATGTAAATCCTCTTTTTTTTTTTTTTTTTAAAGAATAAGAGGTATATCAGTGTTAGAGTAAAGATTGAGGACTAGCAAAATGGCTCTGTGGATAAGGGCATTTGCCATCAACTCTGAATATCTAAACCCATTCCTGGGACCCACATGGGGGAAAAAGAAAACTCTCAAGTTTCCTCTGGTCTCTATCTACTCTTGTGCCATGGGAAACATGAATACACACCAATGCAGTGAATAAATAAATAAACGTTTGAAATAATTGCCTGTTTAGACCAAATACCTTTTACATTTTAAGTAAGTATGCAGGAAATCATTCATTACTACGCATCTTCTTTTTGATGGATACTTAAATCTGTAGTTTCCTATAAATATGTACAATTTTTATCTCCTGTCTAAAAGATTTTTAAATGAACATTTAACTAAAATTCATATATACATGTAAGTACATTAATATACACATGTGCATAAGTAATCTTAAACAAACAATGAATACACACATGTGTATTTTATCAGCTACAACATTCCAGTACTGTATTCTACCTCAGATTCTACCTCTGAACTTCTGTATCCACCAGGTGGTTTCTAATGTTAAACCAAAGGACAATTAGCAAGAGATGAAACCACAACACAGTATCACAGGTAGGAAGATATCTGAAGCCAATAATCTTTTGGCTCCAGACAAAAACTGTCTCTACACTGTGGCATATTCTAAAGTTCTTCACAGCCTGGAAGACAAAAACTAGACCAGATAAAACCCTAAGCAAGGCAAGCTTTGTGAGGAACGGCATCTTCTCACCCACCTCTTCCCACTCACCAAGGACGTACTCCAGAGACTGACTGATTCCAAGAGCCCCTCCCCGTACGACATTACTCTCAACAACTAATACCACACATCCTTGTCATCTCAGAAAGTTAGGACTAGAGAGACAGCCCCAGTGGTTGAGAGCACTCACATCAGGTTACTCACAACTACCTGTACTCTCATTCCAGAGATTAATGGGCACCCACACGTGTGGTGAACTTACACACACACACACACACACACACTTTCATCATCCCTTCCTGACCTTATTCCACCCCTATTATCACATTGCTTCTCTCTTTCCCTTTAACAATCCCCCAAAGTGCAGTCTCTACTCAGAGTCTGTAAGGACTGGGTCCTCTAGCTCTCTTCTGAATCTTCTGAATTCATTACAATTAGGTTTTCTTTCCATTTTGTTTTGTTTTGTTTTGTTTTTCGAGACACAGTTTCTCTGTTGTAGCCCTGGCTGTCCTGGAACTCACAGAGATCCTCCTGCCTCTGCCCTCCCCTTCCCTCCGGGTGCTGGAATCAAAGGCGTGTGCCACCATGCTCAGCCTTACAATTAAATTTTCGCCCACCACTCCACAGTCACAGTGACCTCTACCACGTTATGTGCAGCACCAGCTGAAGCCTAGTCCTCATCTTCTTCATTCAAGACCATCCGACAGAGCTCAGACAGCAGTCGTCACCAACTCCTACCCTTCTCCTTTTGGCATCTAGGACACCATATCGTCCTGGATTTCCTCTATACTCTACTGCTGGGAACCTATCTTATGTCATAATTTTAAATACCACATTTATGCAAAGCTATTCAGTCCTGGTATCTACTAGGTACACAGCCTCCTACTCACTGTCCTCACTTCTAAGAACGGAGATCTCTACATATCTAAAGTTGAGCTCCTGAGCCCCCAAAAACCTAACCTAGGTTCTCCAGGTTCCTTATTTCAACTGACAACCATTCTACCCCTTATGCCATGGCCCAAAGTTGACCTTCTTCTCTCTCAAATTGGATTCATTAAAATAAAAACTAAAGAAGCCATCTTAGTCCCACGATACGATACCAAAGGTCTGAAATCTAGCCTAAAAGAACTTTCTAGCATCTCCTTACGACCTCTTCACTAGATGTCCCTGGAATATCAGATTCACTGTGAACAAACTACTGGACCCACTGGGCTCTGGATGACTTACCTAAAGTCTTTGTGTTTGCCAGGAGCGCTTCCTCGTAAGAAAGGATATAATAGAGCACCAAAAGCTGCGCCGTGATACTGAAGCGCTGATTAAGGCAGGCGCTGTCACCCTGAGGGATACGAAACGGTTAAAACAGTAAGCCACAAGAGCTGCCTTCCTTTTCAGTAGGGAAGCCGACTACCCAGTGCTGCTGCACCAGGCACAGCTGGACTGGGAAGGAGACTACTGGGTTCGCAGCAGACTGAGATGGCTGCCTGTCTTCACGAAAGGAAGGTCATGACAATGAAAGGAAATATCTTTCCTGGTCTTTATGATGAGGGGAAAATGTCACATAACTTCATCTACTACCTCTTTACAGCACTCCCTCCTGCTTCTGAAAGACTTGGAGGAATTGAAGTACTATATTAAATTGCCATGAAGAAAGCAATTCATAAAATAGATACTGTATATTCAACTGTGTCTGCATAAACTATAACTTTTCCTAGCAAAATAAGGAGAAAGATTTCACCAAACTTTCCATAATTGAATCCAGGTGTATCTTTGATTCCCAGGAAGCTAAACAACACCATGTTGAATATGTTGAAATAGCCCACAGTCCTTTAGCAATACATAATCTTCAAGATACCCATTCCACTTCAACAGGAGGCTTCAAAACAACTCCTCGTGCTGTGCATGGTGGGCTAAGCCTGTTATTCCAGTATTCAGAAGCTGAGGCTGCAAGATTATGAGTTTTAGACCACCCAGGCCACAAAGTGAGACACTTTCTCAAAAACTATTCATTCAGGAATACACACACAAAAGATAAATAAAATAATTTTTAGAAATATGTAGAAAAGAACTCTTAAATAAGTGCTCTTTGACAAACTACTTGGAATTAATACTACTATATTTTTTTATTAGTGAGCTAATAAAATTTAATCTCACTGTATATATATAGTATGTATGTATTTGCAATTCTGTGTGCAAGCGTGCATACCTATGCATTAATCTTATTTTGAAATCAGAATCACAAATAAGACTTCTGCCAGAAATATAACAGATGTAAAAGAAGCATTATTTTATTTACCCCAATGACTTCCTGGAAAATGTTAAGTATCTCCTGTTCTGTGACTGGCTGATTTGTGGCTTCAGGATTTGATTTCGATGCAGGAGTAAGTATAGAGTTTATGTACACATCAATCAGAGGAAGTAGCTGAGGGTGGAGCGGAGTGGAGGTTTCACACAGCTGTCTGTAAATCCAGTCCTGGGAGAAAAAGGCATTGAATCAAGGCAAAAAAAAAAAAATTAAAAAATTTAAAAAAAAAGCAAAACTGTAGACGCACCTATAGCTTTCCATTGTTTTTCAAATCAGAGTATTCACCATTAGTTTGGGGAGCTAAAATATACTACCTCTTTTGATAAATACCTCTGGCTTAAAAGTCTTATAGTTTAATCAAAAAGACTGTCCAGTGAAAGCTACACCTAACATGGTGAGAAGCCTGGCTTTGGGTGTAATGAGTTTTCGAACAGTCCCTTCTAGGTTTATATTTAGAGATCTGTATGTGTCATGGAAGACTTCCCAGCAGAAGAGGACATGTGGCAGGTGGCTATTTCTTCTGAGAAACACCCTGATTAAGAAAGTGACTTAGGCTGGACCATACCTTTAATCTCAGGCAGAGGCAGACAGATCTCTAAATTCAGGCCAGCTCTATGAGAAAGTTCCCAGACAGCCAGGGCTACCCAGAGAAACCTTGTCTCAAAATAAGGAAGGAGGGGCTTAGATTAAGTACTAATACAGGACTACCATCTAACTACCGATGAGTAGAGGACATGTAGAAATTTGGGGTGTGTAGCTGGACTCTTAATCCATAGCTGTTTTGCTTGAAAAAATACAAAAAGAAGCAAAAGATGCAATCTAGCTGAAAAGTAATCACCAATACACCACAGCAAGGTCACCTGAGGGGATATGCCATTGTAAACTGTGGGTTGTTCTTTTTAAGTAAAGAAACTTTTATAGATGGTTCAAAAATATTCATTTACTTCATGGGTTTCAGACTTCTCTCTGGAAGATCTTTTAACTCTTTGACACGAGCAAATATAAAAACTGACACATTTGTAAGTTAGGCACTAGTTATGTCTGTGACAAACTTTGGAACACCGACATTAGAACTGGTGAACAAAAGTATGAAAAGGGTCCAGATGTGTTAGTGCACACCTATCACCCCAGCACTTAGGAGGGGAAAGCAGGAGGACCGAGAATTCAAGGGCAGCCTCAGCTACAAATCAAGTTCAAGGCCAACTCAGGCTTCAAGAGAATCTGTATCAAACAAAACAAAAATGTAAAAAAATAGCAATTTCTTACTAATTGTTAAATGAAATAGTTAAGTGCTATTGAGAATTTAAGTGGAAAAATAATGCTGTACATTTTGTAAATAATTTATAATATTGTTTAAAAACTGAAATTGGGTTATTAATAATATTTAACTATATAAATAATTAGTAATTTAGCTTACTACCAAACATTAGATATACAAACCACAGGAAAGGACTATAGTAAAGAAACCAGGAACTAGTGAGGAAGAACGGAGTTACAGTTGAAAATTCAAATGTAAAGTCCTACTTTTATTGATACTTTGTGCTTGGTAAACGATCGACTCCTGAGAAGTTGGTAAATACAATGAATGGGCAGAAACCCAGTAATGTTGGCACTCAGGTTGCTGGTGACAGGGACTCGAACTGCATGAGCTGTAACAACCTAAAAGAAAAAACAGCATCAAGATAATAAGAAAATAAGGCCGGGTGGTGGTGGTGCACGCCTTTAATCCCAGCACTCGGGAGGCAGAGCCAGGCGGATCTCTGTGAGTTCAAGGCCAGCCTGGGCTAGCAAGTGAGTTCCAGGAAAAGGCGCAAAGCTACACAGAGAAACCCTGTCTTGAAAAACCAAAAAAAAAAAAAAAAAAAGAAAAAGAAAATAAGACGTAAGATAACAAATATAACATTAGTTTGAAAGAAGGTATAGTGTACAGACTACCAACATAAGTAGGCCATCCACACTTCAATGGAGTCCATGAGGATGAATAATGAGAATCAACTGGTACAAGTTGTCATTTTTGTGTTTTTGTTTTGAGACAGGGACTCATGTAGATCATGCTGACCCTGAACTCTCTATATTGCCAAGGATGATGACCATGAACTCTTGATCCTCCTATTCCTTTGTCCTGAGTGCTAGGATTACAGACATGTACCTTGTACCTGAACATTTTCATGATTTTTAAGTTTCAAAAAAGTAAACTAGGTGCAGTAACACTCATCTGTAATCTCAGCCACAAAAAAGGCTGAAGCATGAGGTTCACAAGTTCAAAGCCATCTTGAACAACTTACTGAGACTTTATCTCATTAAGGCTAGGAATATATCTAAGTGTTAGGATGCCTGTCTGGCATGTGCAAATTCCTGAGTTCAATCCCCAGGACAGTTCCAAAGCAGTACATACTTAGGAACTAGTACAGATCTCTAATTTCTATTTGTTTTTACACAAACTCATGTAAAGGGCTTGAGGTGTAACTCAGTGGTATAGCAGCAGCTAACGTACAGGGGCCAATGGTTCAATTTCCAACACCACCAAAAAACTCCACCAAAACAAACAAGTAAACAAATGCACGTGTGATAATGTTAAAAACATAAAACTTAGTAGCTGGGCCAAGTGAGAAGTCCTTTACCTTTCAAATCTATTTTTTACATGCATAAAATAAAAGATTACCATCTTGCCGGGCGGTGGTGGCGCACGCCTTTAATCCCAGCACTTGGGAGGCAGAGCCAGGCGGATCTCTGTGAGTTCGAGGCCAGCCTGGGCTACCAAGTGAGTCCCAGGAAAGGCGCAAAGCCGCACAGAGAAACCCTGTCTCGAAAAACCAAAAAAAAAAAAAAAAAAAAAAAAAAAAAAAAAAAAAAAAAGATTACCATCTTACTTGTCTTGAAGGGTTGCTGTGAGAGGTAACTTTTTTTTCTAGTAGTTCTATGAGCTGGGCCTACGGGCACACTCCTGAAATCTCAGCACTCAGGAGGCTGGGCAAGAGGACTGCAGAGAGCTCAGAGTTTACAGCAAGCTTGGCCTACATAAGTTCCAGTCCAGCCAGTGCTAGAGAGTACGTCTGTCTCAGGAGGAAATTATATAGATACACACACACACACACACACACATGTGTCTAAATTGGCAAACGGATTTGAGAACTAATTTTTACTTTTAGAAGCACTTTACTGAAAAGAAAATTATTCTTGAATTTACCCCCAGACAAGGGTACTGAAGCCAAATCAATGTAAACAGAAGAATAAGGAACCAGAAGCTAGCTTGTAATCTAACTGCAAACACTTTACAACCTAAAGACTAACAAGAGCTCTGTTTTCTCAGAGCAATCCAAATGGTTAGCCCACACAAGTACATCACCAATATCTACAACCACACACACACACTCTTAAGCACCCATTCAAAGTTTTCAGGAACATAAACTGTTTTATAATGAATTACTTACTTTAAGTGAATTATTCGCAGAGAGTTTAAAGATGAAATAAATTATCGTTACAAACTGCAAATAATGAAAAAAGACTACTTTCTTCTTTTAAGTAGTTTAGTTAGCTAAGGACAAAAGGAAGTACCTGCTCAGTAAAGATTTCCTGTGTGAAGATGGTCTTCATCCTGCTCAAGGAGCTTGGCTTAATCACAATCTAAAATAGTGAAAAGAATTCCAACAGCATGTAAAACTGTATGAAATACATTTACTCTCATGAATTTATTACCCAAAATGAGTACGATATACAATATTAATGTTCAAAAGTTAAACTTTCCTTTCACAAGTGGCTTCCTAAGCCTGACATTAAGAGATACAAAAGCAGAAGCAATATAAAGCGTACTTAGAAAAGAGGTGCACCTGTGTGCATGACGGTAGTCTCAGACACCTGGGAGGATGAGGCAGGAGGATCACTAGCACATAGGAGACCAGGAGCAACCTAGGCAATATAGTTAGACCTTTTTGTCAAAAATAAAGACAAAACATACTTTAAAATTACTTAATAAGTACTAACAATTGGCACTAGCTAATAGCTACTACCACTAACTACTAGTGGATAGAAGAGGTCTATCCAATAAATGGAAACAAGAAACATATATATTTCATATACATATGCACTTTGTTATACACATGACACTACACATCAAGTACTTCAAATGGAATAAAATTTAAAATCAAATGCAGAACTGAAGTATATATACCTCAGTGGAAGGGTGCTTGCCTAGCATAAGTGAAGCCCTGTGTTTGTTCACTAGTACTGAGAAAAAAGATTTAAATGCAAAGCATAAATCCACAAATAAGCTAGAAGAAAGTCTAGTAAGCTGAGTGTGATGAGTCAACCTATAAACCAGCACTCTTGTGGAAAAGGCAGGGGAATCACATTAAAGTTTGAGTCAGTCTGGGCTACAAAGCAAGACCTTGTCTCAAAAAAAAAAAAAAAAAAAAAAAAAACCCAGAAGAACTAGTTTTACTAATATTCAACAAAATAAAAAACAAGTGGAACCATTCTTCACCAAGCAAATTTGCAGACCAGGTGTGGTGATTGCATGTCTTTAATCTCGGCACTCAGGAGGCAGAGGCAGGCCGATCTCTACGGATTTGAGGTCAGCCTGGTCTACATACCAAGTTCCAGGACAGCCCAGGTTATATAAGGAGACCTCATCTCAACAAATATATAAATAAATTTAAAAGCAAAAGTGAAAAAGAATGGGGCTGTCTAGGCATGGTAAGATTTTAGGAAACCAAGGGCTCTCGTGCATTAATGTAAACAACAAAACTGTAAAAATTTCTACAAAAAATAATCGGACAGTATCTGGCAGACTCACACTTTTATTTAGTAACTGCTTGCCACAGTTTTATCTTAAATAGACTGAGAAGTATATGAAGATGTAGATGTGTGACTGCATGTGTGTATATTTTCATAAATGAGTTCATTCATTTAAGCTTTATAATAAATTAGAAAATCTACACAGGAAGTAAAAACCGATGGAGACTAGCATGAGTTCCAGGGCAGCCTATCTCAACCACCACCAACAACAAAGAGGGCTGGAGAGACGATGCAGCAGGGGACTGCTCTGGCAAAGGACACCAGTTTGGTTCCTAACACCTATGTCAAGTGGCTCACAACAGCCTGTAACTCCAGCACCAGAGGTTCCCATCCCTCTTCTGGCTTCTATTGGCTATTGCATACATGAGCACATATGCCCACACAGACACACACACATACATACATAAATTTAAATAGATGTTCTAAAAATTACTATTTTTCTAGGAATTCTTTAATAAAATTTCAAACTAGCAAACAACTAAAACTACTTAAATTAACACAATGGATTTGTTATATACTATGACAGAATGTCTAGTTTAGGCACACTTTCTTTCAGAAAAAAGATTATTAAAAATTACCTTCATCCCCAAAGTGGAGCAGACTAAGTCAATGATTGCACTAAGCTGGTTGCTATGGAAATACATAGCCACTAATAACAACATCTCCCCAAAAGAAGCAGAGACACCGGATGTACTGTTAAAACAGAAGAGAAACTATGAATTTCCAAGGAGAGAATAAATAAGAAGAGCTTTCTAAACAGAGCAAACACGCGCTGCTTCCTTACCTCTCAAAGTACGCCTCTTCTTTGATCATCCAGCTGAGCCACACCACCATCAACTGCTCCTGCTCTGGTGTGCTGTGGAGACACCAGTGTCACCCCCATGAGCCAGTCAGCAGGAAGAAAACGATCTGACTGCATTTCCCTTATTTTTAAAGATTTGCTTATTCTTATTGTGTAGGTATAAGGAGTTTGCCTACATGTGTCCATACGGACCATGTGCATGCCTGGTGTCCTCAGATCCCTGCAACTAGAACTACAGATGGTTCTGAGCCACTGTGTGGATGCTGGAAACTGAACCCAGGTCTTCTGCAAGAGCACCAAGTATTATTAACCACTGAGTCATCTCTCCAGCCCTTAAGTTATTTTTCCCAGAAGTTATTTTTCTCCTCTATTTTGAAATACCAACTCAAATTAATGGTTTGCTCAACTGGACCATTAATTATAATTGAAACGAGATAGTTCTAGAACTCAAAGATGAAGGCTTTGGCTTCATGAATCTGAACTGTCAAAACCTCCTCAAGTCTTAGTAAAACTATATTTGCAAGCTAGAGAGGGACATTACCTCCTTTTTTAATTTTTTTTTTTTTTTTTTGGACAGGGTTTCTCTGTGTAGCTTTGGAGCCTGTCCTAGAACTTGCTCCATATTCCAGGCTGGCCTCGAACTCACAGAGATCCACCTGCCTCTGCCTCCCGAGTGCTGGGATTAAAGGTGTGTGCCACCACTATCTGGTGTGACATTACCTCTTATTCCTTGGAAAAGCAAAGGTCTCTGGGGTTAAAATGTTAAAAGAACTATACTAAGAACTGATCATTTACTTCATATAGGAAAAAAAAAAATCTAGCGTGAAAACATAAGCATCAGCTAGGCCAGATTTGGTGGCTCCACCTTTCGTCCCAGCACCAGGAGACAGAGGTAGGCAGATCTCTGAGTTCAAGGCTAGCCTGGTCTACATAGTAAGACCTTGTCTCAAAAAAAAAAAACCTTAATCATCAAAAAGTCAGAAACCAAGTTCTAAAATCTAACAAATTAATGCATCTTTTTACTTAAAATTTAAGTTATGAAAATCTTTTGAGTAGAATTTTAAATTTTAGACAGATATATTCCTACTAATCATGAAGATAAGAACAACACGGGTTCACCATATATAAAAAGGGTAATAAAAAATAACAGTAATAACTTCTTTTTAAATTTTTCTTTTCCATTTATTTATTTATTTTGTGTGTTGAGGAGTGGGTATGTCCACCCTGACATGTGTATAGATGTCAGAAGACAATTTTTGGGCATCAGTTCTTGCCTTTACCATGTGAGTCCAGGGGATCCAACTCAGGTCATCATGCTTGGTGGCTAGTGCCTTTACCCACTAAGCCATCTCACCTGCCCAACAACAGTAATAACTTCTTTAAAACAATTATTCGATTTAAAACTAAAAGGCACACTCTGACTTGGACTTGTGCAAAAATGTCATGGATCCCTTCCACCTCACTGCAGAAAAGAAAGTAAAATGCAAAGCAACTAAACAGTGTGCATTTCTAACTACTCCAAGCAAAGAAAGTATAAAAGGTCATTTATACTATACATTATACTATACTCTATTATCCTTCAATCAATCCACTAGTGCAGGACAATGCTATAAGGCAGGAAGCCTGGAGGGCCTGCCAGACCCTGGTGGGACTCCCAATTGTGCAATTACTCACAGTGTGATCTTCAACACAGTGTTTATCTTTCTGAACTTTAGTCCTCTGTCAACTAAGGATAGCACTATAGAGTAATGAGGACTAAAGGTGATGGTTACAAGGCCTCGAGGAGGAAAAAGCAGAAGCACATGGCTAACATTACTTATTTTTAATTTCACTAACATTATATTCTCTCTTTTTTTTTCTTTTTTTTCTCGAGACAGGGTTTCTCTGTGTAGCTTTGCGCCTTTCCTGGAACTCACTCTGTAGCCCAGGCTGGCCTCTGCCTCCCAAGTGCTGGGATTAAAGGCGTGTGCCACCACCGCCCGGCACATTATACTTTCTTGAACAGCACTAAAATTACATTAAAAGAAATTTCTCGGCCACTGAGAAGGCTCAGGGGCAAAGCACCTGAGTTTGATCCCTGGGACCTGAATGCGAAGAACTGATTCCCACAAGTTGTTCTCTGACCTCCACGCACATGGATGGCACATGCATACAAATACACCCCTACACACACACACACACACACATACACACACACACACACACACACACACACACACACACACACAAAATAAAATAAATGCAGTAACAACCCTTTAACAAAAAGGTCTTAAAGAAAATCAGTCCCCCTTCAATAGAGCAGAACAAACAATCCCAATACTCGGGAGGTGGAAGCAGGAAAATCAGAAGTTGAAGGACAATCTCATCAATACAGTAAGTGCCAGAAAAATGATCTAAAAAAGTTAAAAAACAAAACCAAACAAAAAATCAAATCAAATAAAGAAAGGAATAAAAGAACAAAGTGAGAACCCTTAGAAATTAAACACTGCACAGAAGACAAAGCCTGAATGGCGGAATGCTTTCTTCCTGGAGTGGTGAAAATATCCTGTAAGCAGAGTGTGGCAATGGTCAGGTAACTGTGCAAATGCTAAGAACACTGAATGGTAACTAAAGGGGTACAATTATAAATTTCCTGATACGTTTTACGGCATTTTTTTTTTTAAAAAAAAAGAACAAGCAAAGCACAGAAAAGATTATGAGATAAGAAAATCCAATAACCATCTCTGAAAGAAGTCACACAAGATGAGTACTAGACAGAGAAACCCCCAGGAAGGGCATTATCAACAAACTAACTCAGGAGCCTTTCCTAGAACTCAAGGCCATCAGTTTCTATTGGAAAGGACCCACTGGGTGCCGAGGACACCAGATCAATGCGAACTTGGGCAGGATGTGCCGATGCATGCAGAATCCCAGAACTGGAGGACTGAAGCAAGAGTACCGCAGTGAGGTCCAGGCCGGCCAGAAAGACTCTCAAACAAACAAAAATCAAAACAAAACAAAGAAACAAAGACACTGAGGACAGATATCATCATCCAGAAATTTCAAAACCATGTGCCAAAAATCTAGCCCTCCATGCTTTCACAGTGAAGGAGGACACCCCAGGGGACCAGGAATCAGGAAGGTGTTAGAAAATGACAACACAGGAAGTTGTCAACAGGACACACACTTTCAAAAATCTCCAAAAGAAATTACGTCCTGCTTAGAATTCTACATGCATCAAACCATTAGCCAAACGTCAGAATGGAGGCAGGTTCAGAAACCCACTCCTGCTCTGAAGATTTACCTCCCACATGCCTGCTTTCTAAAAATGCAAAATGAAGAACAATTCCTGAGAACAGCTGCAGAACACTAGGTACAGAGGGATCTAGCCAAGACTGGAGCAGACAACACTGCGCCAGGCAAGATTTCTGAGAATGATTAAACTAAAAGACTGTGTAATGAGTCAGATTAGGTCCAGAGAAGATTTAGCTACATTTTGTTTCTTTGTTGTTCGGTATTGTGTGTCTGAGTTTTCCTGCTTTTGTTTTTTTGTTTGTTTGTTTGGTTTGGTTTGGTTTTTGGTGTGTGTGGTGGGTTTTTTTTTGTTTTTTGTTACTCTTTTTTGTTTTTTGGGGTTTTTTTTTTCCAAGACAGAGTTTCTCTGTGTAGTTTTCGTGCCAGGTCTACATCTCACTCTGTAGAGCAGGCTGGCCTCAAACTCACAGAGATCCATCTGGCTCTGCCTCCCAAGTGCTGGGATTAAAGGCATGCACAAGCACGGCCCCAGCTCCTGCTTTGTTTTGGTTTGTTGTTATTGGTTTTTTTGAGACAGGGTGTCACTATGTAGCCTAGGCTAGCCTCAGACTCATGGCAGACTTCCCGCCTTGGTCTCCTATGGGCTGGGATTAGAAGCATGAATTACCACAACCATGAAAGATTTAGTTTTGTAGGCAGTGGTGGTGCACACCTTTAACCTCAGCACTTGGGAGGCAGAGGCAGGTGGATTTTTTAGTTCAAGGCCAGCCTGGTCTACAGAGTGAGTTCCAGGGCAGCCAGGGCTAGACAGAGAAACCCTCTCTTACAAAAATAAATAAATAAAGGAATAAATAAATAAATAATTGGGTGGCACACACCTTTAATCCCAGCATTTGGGAGGCAGAAGCAGGCAGATCTCTGAGTTCTAGGCTAGCCTGGGCTACAAAGTGAGTTCCAGGACAACTAGGGCTATACAGAGAAATCATGTCTCACAAAAAAACAAACAACACAAAACAACAACAAAAAAAAAAAAGAAAAGAAAGAAAAAGGAAAAGGAAAAATAGGGTGAGAGGAGCTGGGGGGACACTAAGGCTTTTCTCCTTGGACTGTGGAGAGTTTAGTGGCCTTTGTTATAAAAGCCTGGATTTGGCCTCACCTAGTCTCTCTGTCTTCTGTGGGGTGTGGCTGCTTTCTCCCCACCACTCCCTCCGTGGCAAATTTGCCATGAATTGACCCAGTACCAGGGGTGGGGATAGGGGTGGCTGCTCTCAAAAAAAAAAAAAAAAAAATTTTTTTTTAAAAACCAAAAAGATTAAAAAAAAATTTAGTTTAATTATTATTACATAGAACATCAAGAAAATTTAAGGCAAAACTGTTTTAAAAGTAAGTGGCCAGGTGGCAGTGGTGCATGCCTTTAATCCTAGCACTCGGGAGGTAGAGCCAGGCAGATCTCTGTGAGTTCGAAGCCAGCCTGGTCTACAGAGCAAGACAGGCACCAAAGCTACACGGAGAAACCCTGCCTCGAAAAACCAAAAAAAAAAGAAAGATAAGTAACTACCTACTCATGATTGAGCGCTCAATGATGTTTACATAATCATAATACAAATATAAACTATATATTGATCAAATTAAAATTATTATAACTATACTAAGATAACAGAAGGAAAAGAAAAGGAAGACACGTGCAGTGTTTTCAGACAGAGAGAAAAACAAAGAGAACTAATTGCTCATCTTTGAGAATGGGAATTCAATTAACTAATACCTAGAAGTGTCATCAGTAATGAAGTACCGGGGCCAGTGAGATGGCTCAAGGGGGAGACATCTGCCATCAAAGCTGATGACCAGAGTTCCATCTTCGAAGTCCACATGATAGAAGGAGAGAAATGACTCCTACAAGTTGTCCCTTGACCTCCCCACGTGCACCATAGCACTCGGATACACACACACACACAAACACACACACACACACACACACACACACACACACACACACACACACAGAACTGAATACAAAAATAAACAGGTAATAAAGTTTTTTAAAAGCTTTTAAACAATGTACTAGTAAGACCCAAAACTACTCAAGAACTAAAAGAAACAACCTCCAAGGAAGGAAAGTAGGGAAGGAAAGTTATTAGCCTTCAAAAAGATCTTGAAGAACGATCTGATTCCTTTAAACAATATTCAGAAGAAACTCCAACCAAGACTAATAAAATGATGGGCATTCAGGAGATGTGGCTATCCTTTCACTGAAGGAGAGAGACCATGACTGTCTGTGCCTAGGCCAGGCTCTGCAGTAAACGTTTAATAACATGTTCTACAGCCTTTCTGGTGGCAGCCCACACGCCAGGCAAACACACTACCTACACTGCACACTCGCCCCTGTACACACACTCTGATAGGTAGATAAGAGCACATCCTGACAAAGCAGAGCGACTTGGAAGGTACCTGACAAGTGTAGAAAAGGCCAGTAGCATACAGAAGGAAAGGGAAACAAATCGAACCCCAGCTGGTGTGGCAGGCGGCCGGCTGGTCATCAACTGCAGCAACTGTTCAGCTTCTTCCTCAGTTGGCCTGGAAGAGAAACGAGCTGTTACATTTGTTTGTTTGTTTATCTACTTAGAGTTCAGGAAGGAAGCAAGTGAATTTTCCAACATTTTAACTCTTCAAGTACAAATTTTTTAACATCACTTAAAAAAAATACATTCAATTACTTGTTGTGTGTGTGTGTGTGTGTGTGTGTGTGTGTGTGTGTGTATGTAGCATGTGCATGTACTGTGCTGTATGTATATAGTGTGTGTGTGTGTGTGTGGTATATGACAGTGCACATGAATGGGTGGGTGTTCATGTCTGTGCACACGTGCAGGAGGGCACTCTGTCTTATTTAAGCCTTGAAGCAGAAACTAGCTGTTCCCACTAGGCGTTGACCAGAGAGCTCTTGGGACATTCATATCTCTCCCTCACAGTTGTGAGGTTACAAGCATGTACAGCCATGCTCAGCTTTTTAGATGAGTGCTGGGGATTCAAACTCAACTCATCATGGTTGCAGAGCAAGCATTCTTTACCCTGAGCCAGTACCCTACACTTTCATCATTATTGGTCAATTCTCTCTTTTCAATTGTCTGCTTTTTTTTTAATGCATATGGATTTATCATTAAGAAATGAAAAACAGGCCGGGCGGTGGTGGCACACGCCTTTAATCCCAGCACTCGGGAGGCAGAGCCAGGTGGATCTCTGTGAGTTCGAGGCCAGCCTGGGCTACCAAGTGAGTTCCAGGACAGGCGCAAAGCTACACAGAGAAACCCTGTCTCGAAAAACCAAAAAAAAAAAAAAAAAAAAAAAAAAAGAAATGAAAAACAGAATTACTTTGCTGTCTCTGTAAAAACAGGGTTTAGTGACCAATAGACTTCAAAGGAAGTAATAATAGCAGAGGGCATAACATGGTAAGCACATGTTACTTATGTGTAGTCATATGTCCTGCAGAGCTCACAGCAGTTTGTACTTTATAGAATTATGGGGTTAATGGATTGTAATAACTTAAATTTAAACCAAACTGATAGGCCAGCATTTGCTTAATTAAACTGTCAGAACTGAAAGGCACATGAGCTGGAGACACACACAGGAAAGTTCTGATACCAGCTGAGGACACTATTTGGGAAAATTTGGTGCAGTGACTTAGAACCTTGTGCTAAAGAGCCATGTCCTGTCAACTCTGAAACACAGGAGTCTTCCCCTGACCCAGGAGTGGTCATGGGTAACTCGCAGGTCTCTCAGGGGTATCTTCTCAAATTGGTAAAAAAGAGTCCTTTACACTGTGATTAAAAACTGATAAAATACTCTCCTCCCTCCAATATCTGCATAATTCTATTTATAATCAGAAATTAGGTCAAAATATTCCTCAAGGTCAGCTGGCCTTAATGACTTCAATTTTGACATAAACTAGTAAAATTAAAAGCCCAAGTCTCTTAATAAAAGGCCTTTGGCTCACTTCTCTGAGATCAGAAACAAGAAGAAAGATAAAAAGGTAAAATATCAGATTGAGTACTTGAGTCCAGCAATTCCCATCAAGGCACAGTAGAGACGTAAGAGTGCGCTGGCTTTCACCACATGCTCTTCCTTCAGCCCCGAGTACACAGACACAGTGGGTTCCATCTCCACATCGGCGTCTTCTACAATACGAGTACTCCTTACTGTAGGAAGAATGCCCATCAACTCCAGAAGAAGCTGCCTCCTCATCTGCCAAAGGACAGAACCGCTGGTCTCCCTTTTTCTCTGTAAGTGTGAATGGCAAAGGAAGAGAGCATGGGACATTTACTAAATCCAAAGGAAGCTGAACAGATCTCATCATGTGAGCACGTGCAGTTGAACCAACATGAAGGGCCTGTCATAACTGCAGTTCCATTTTAACAAGTCAGGAAAACTCAAAATCTACTCATCCACTCACCCCAATTGGCATTGATTGCAGAGGAAAAACTAAATGAATGCAAACTGAGTTGTGAACAGTATTTTCATCTGGGTGTGACAGTCCACTCCTGTAAATCTCATCACTTGGAGGCAGAGACAGGAAAGCTACTGGAGGCTAGGCCAGTCTACATGGCAAGTACCAGTACAACTAGGGCTATAGAAAGAACAAAAATTTGTT